TCCCAGAGCGTTTATTAAATTTTAGGGGCGTTTATTCCTGTAACTTTTAATACAATATGCTTTCGGCCGAAAACTTTTGTGTTAACAAAATCTCGACTGCGGGCTGACGGCTTGCACTCCAAGGTTTCTTATTCAATATTTTTTTCTCTTTTGCGACAATCAAGAGGGTACTTCAACAATTAAATTGATAAATTGATTGATTTTGCTCTATTTTGCCATTTCCTAGTATTTTGGAGCAATTTTCACTGGGCGCGTTTATTAGACAGGGTGCGATTATCAGAGAGGGGCGTTTAATACAAACTTAACAGCGTAGGGGGTGCGTTTATTAGATAAGAGGCGTTTATTTGAGAGTGGGCGTTTAGTAGATCATTTACGGTATAGCCAAACCTGTTTTAAGCGAACCTGTATTTCGTGGCGAATCACTTACCAAAGTCCCGGAAATCACTTTGTTTAATTAACCTGCGGTTACCTTTTCCGAGGTCCCAACGAGTTGTTTTTCATTTTCTTCAGCTCTGTTCAACTGTCCCTTTGACAATTTGCACTAGTATGGTATTAGTACAACAGTTACAGTGTGTAACGTGTATTAAGCGGTCAGTAAGCCACTGATACCCCCTTACTGATTACCGAGGGGGACGTTGTGACCTTATTTTCAAGGCGTCCACAACCACCAAGTTAACCATGTCAGGTGAGAAACAAAACTGTCAAAACTGAGTTCATTCCGGTTAAAGATGACGAGAGTGTTCAGTTGTACACTTACTGAATAGCTTAAGAATAAGAATGAACTTCTAGTGATACATATGATTTTCCAGCTTAATTGGATTTTTAATTAATTCCTGTGTTTACTTAGAATTGTAGTTTCACAAAACACCATAAATGCTTTTGACACATTTTTTTTATTTCAAGAAAACTACTTAATATACACCTTGAATTTGTCAAAGTATTAGTGGCAAGAGATTTTTGCTCCTAACGTCATTTCGAACGATTTTCGTATGTCCTTGAAAAATGGTTTCGTTAAGTGTTCGTTATTTGTTTTATCAGTCAATGGATGAAAAGATCAAAACATAGACTCTTAATTTTTCCGCCAAAGAAAACCCTAATATGGAGAAAGCATTGGTCGATTGGCCAATCGTGTAGCAATATGCCGTCAAAGCAAAGAATCGATTGATTTCTAGAAAGTTCTCAGGTATGAAGTTTTTTCACCTGAGCGTTCGTCGCGTTAACGAACCAAAAGCCACACGCGTTTGTGTCTGTTCTATAAACCAATCAAATCACTCTATTTCCGTTCATTTGTTGTTTCTGTTTTGTTTGCGCGGTTTCATGTCAAGGTCATGCGAAAATCGCTGTAATGTTGCTTTGTTTTTTGTCTACTCCGAGTATCTAAAATGACCAAGTCGATTTCTGGGACCTTAGGGACCGTTCATTTTTTATGAGAGAGGGGGGCTGGTGGGATTTGGGGGGGCACTCGAAAAAAATTGGCTTGAAAGGGGGAGCCAGCCGAAAAAAAATGAAGGAAAGGGGGTGGGGATTCGGACGAAAAAATTAGATTAAAAATAGGATAAGAGATGTTTACAATTGGAAGAAAAATTGTGCTCTTTTATTTATAACAAATATGATAAAACAGTTCCAGGGTAACAAGAAAACTTCTCAACAGCTTTTATATTTTATAAGGACAGTGAACATACCATAATAACAGTCTTGAACAGCAACAACTTTCTTTTCATTCACAAAAATGTTGTTGTCAAGCTCATATAATTAAAACCAATAATTTGAGTCCTGAATTGGAACTGACCTCGTTACCAGAGCTTTTCTCTGAGAAATTTAATGGGAGGGGCATGAAACTACTACGAGGTGTCCCCTTCCTCATTTTCGACGTTCTCTTCGATCTTGTCGTCGCTGTGTTCCTCTTCTTCTTCCTCCTGTTCTTCTTCGTTGTCTTCCTCTTCTTCCTCTTCTTCGTCGTTTTCTTCTTCCTCTTTGTTCGTGTCTCCGACGTTTGAGCTATAATCTTCAGGATGCAGGAAGCAATACATCCTGTTTCTTACTTCTGGCTTAAGGTTGGTAATAAGCCTGCTTTGTGCCGCGTTGCTGAAGTAGCTTGATTGCAGTAGGTGAGCGATGAATGCTGCATCCCGTGTTAGCAACAATGCTGCTACATCTTGAACGTTTATTCACGCTTCCGGAAATGTCATGGAGGGAGGATAAAGAAGACAATTGGGAAGCTCTTTTACTTTTTGCCAAAGTTTGTGGTTGACTTTCTCCAGCATCTTGAGGTCATAGAGTTTAAAAAAAGAAGAGACTGGCGGAAAGGGCAAGGGAAAGTAGGGAGGCAAGAGAAAAGTCCTATGATGATTATCATTGGGCTACTTTGTGCGAAGATGCCGCCAAGCTAAAAAAGCTCCGTGTGCCAGAATTGAACAAATACTTACATCATCATGGGCTATTAAAACAGCAGCAGAAGAGCAGCAAGAATGACAAAGTCAAGACAATTATAGGACACTTATTGCAGATGAATACTCTCAGAACAGGTCAAGCCGAAGTGAGAGGCAGCAATGAATCAGGTTAACTAGACAGCAGTGGTGAAGGCAGTGAGGAAGAAACTGATGATGATTACAAGAGTGATGCCCCTGACTCTGAAGACGACTCAAATGATGTCGTTCTTGCTTTTATCGCCTCAGACGAGGAATATGTAGACGAGCGGCCAGCTACAACACGCTCAGGACGAGCAGTAACAAGAAGAGCTGACATTGACTTTTCATTCTTTTGAGTGAGGATTTATAAAAACAGCTTTCTAGCTTTCAGCTGTCTTTCACTAAATTACGTGAAATGTAACAAAACGAAATTTTAATGCAGTAACTTTTTTAATACCTTATGTATTTTTTTTTATTTATGGGGGCTTCCAAAAAAATACTCTGATGAGGGGGGCATGCGAAAAAATCGGAAATTGGGTGGGGGTCATACAATTTTCAGATTACACTCCTCCAAATCCCACCAGCCCCCCCTACCCCATAAAAAATGAACGGTCCCTTATACCATCGTATCGAGATCCGCCTATCGAAAGCATTCAAGTACAGTGAATGTTTATTGAATTATTACAAAACAGAATTTTTTAACTTTTTAAAGGCACAGTATAATATAACGTAAAGCTAAGCCAATAGTCCAATTTCAGGGGAGAGCTAGGCGTAGGTTGCGCACCCCCCTTGCAGCTTTCTAATACATCTGGTATCCTGCGAAAAAACTTTGCGGTTTATTGGCAATGAAGTAAAACATGAGACGAGTTTGAAGAATTAATGTGCAACGCGTTAAAAATGGTAGTTAAAATGGTAGTTGTACAGCTCCTCCTAAGAAGAATCCTGGACCCGCCCCTGAATTTTGACTGCCTCGTGTAGGCTTTCGGATAGATTGTACTCGCAAAAGGAGCACAGCATGCTACTAGCAAAGCTAGTACATTTCTCCTTGAAAATTATGCCGATAATTATGTTAGTTTTTAGTAAATTACGTCCATGTTAGTAAAAATATAGAAAGTATGAATTTGGTAAAAACACCTCAATAACTATGCAAGTAACAAGTTAATGGCAAACACATTCACCCTAATTATCAGTAGAAACTTTATCATCTCTAAATTAACCCGAAATTTTTGTTGAATGGAATGCGGTCCTTTTTGTAAGTTGCAATCGTTATTACCCCTCTCTACAAAAGAGAATCTAGTGCACTTTCAATGCTCTCTTTGAATGATCTGTTTAACAACGCCTTTTCAGTTAATTGAATTAGGTTTCTTATAATCAACCTGTTTTTTTTGTGTTTGCTATGGTCCAGCAGGCATACTGGGATCTACCTCAACGTTGTTCCTTCTTAAATAACTTTGGGGGTAAACACCTGTTTTATTTGAGAGGTTAATTTTTTTAAAAAAATATATTACGTGCTTTATTTGCTAAGTTTCAACATACTGATTCTGAGGCCCCTTTTATATAGAGATAACTAGTGGCGAATCCAGACCTTCAGATGGGGGGGGGGGGGGGGGGTGGGAGTCACCTAGAACCTGAGATGACCCTGAGATACTGGAGGGGGCGGTCTCTTAAAATTTTTTCTTCGGCCCTTCGAGCCTCAGTTTGTAACTTCAGTCCTGGATAGAAGAGTCACTCTCTCACTCCAGTTACCCTGGATCAGCCAACGTTTCGTACGCTTCCTGACAAGCGCAGCGAACCATTTACACGAGAAATAAAACTTGGCTCGGCTAGAAGAGTAACCCGGTTGTTACCCTTTTTCTATGGTAGGGGATCCCCCTATCTGGGCTAACGTTTCTCCATATAAACACTTTTTTCCAGGAGAATCCATCGGACTGGGACCTTCATATTGACAATTTGTTACGCAAAGCTAGTAGTCTTTTGTACATTTTACGCGTTTGTAAATATTTTGGATACCCTAAAGAACAACTGACAAAATTATTTGATCTTTTAATAATGTCTCTGTTTTTGTACGGAATTGAGATTTGGGGAGCGGCATATCAAGGTAAATACCTTGATCGCATTGACAAGTTTTTTAAGCGTGCGTTCAGATTCGGATACACCAACAACCTGTATGCAATAGCTGAAGTTATCAGAAATCGAGACTGTAAGCTATGGAACACTATCACGAAAACTCCTTCCCATCCCCTTTACCAACTATTACCCCCTAAGAAACAGAGATTTTGGCGAAACAGAGGACATGATCTTATTTTGGCTGCTGTTAAAACAGAGCGCTTTAAGAGATCTTTTATTAATAGGTGTCTTTTTAATTTTATTTAATTGTACTTGATCTTAAATAGATTGCATTGTCATGTATCTAAAGCCACACGTATGTTGTGACGACCCAACTATGAATAAAGACTCTTACTTTGCCTCGTCCGGCTGGGTCAACTCGGGTCAACTAAAAATTAGTGTGGCTCACAATTCTCAAATGTGTATCGAAAAAGTATTTATATTAAGAAAGAAAAAGAGAAGCAATTACAGTGACACAATCACTTTAATTCTATTACAGGTATTCCCCAGACACGGACGTCCAAAAGAGGTGTTCTAACGTTTGGGCTTATTGTTGCGTGTGAAACGAAACGAAATGCTCTCGAGTACAATGGTTACGGGTGTTATTGCGGACAAGGAGGAGAGGGAACACCCGTGGACGAGATTGACTGGTAAATACCCATATCATAATACACGACGTCTGTGAGGAGGGGGGGAGGGGGGGGGGCTCCTAGCCCCGCAGTTCCGTTGGAACTTCTGTCGTCTCTATTCCGAATACCGTTGTATTTCCCAATACCTTATTCGGTTTCAAGAGTTTAGTAAACGGTTCTAATGGCTTGACAGTGAAAACCAGCGATTAGTGTTTCTCAAACTGCGACCAGAGGGTCTTTTTTCAGAATGTTGTTTCCTAATTCTTTTTGCAGGTGCTGTTATGAGCACGACATGTGTTATCATAAGTTGCAACAGAAAGAAGCTTGCGGCAAGTCTTATCACATTGTTCAGTTGTACTTAACTCCGTACCTACGGAAGGGGTGTTCTGGTTGTGGTAAGTACCCTCCTTGATCCAATTGTAATAAAGCAGTAAAGTACAACAGATGTGTGACAACAAGAATAATTTACTTCACCAAGATGGCGGTCTTACAAAAAGTGACCTCACTAGTAATGGGTATGATAATCACAGGACACCCAGCCAGTATATTACATGAATCAGTAAAATCCAACTAGTGGTCTATTATCAATGCTGCTTTCTGATTGGTCGAGCTACTACTAGGCTATATGTTATAGCCCACTAGTAGCGAAAAGCGCCGGCTTTGAAAACCAAAACAATGGCGGCTGAATCTTGTTTTGCTTGCTAAAGTTGTTTTGTCTCGATATTTTTGACCAACTAGTTGTATTTTACTAAAACAATTATTCCTCTCGCCCTCATGGCCTCTGAGTCAATGCCCATTCGGCCTTCGGTCTCATGGGCTATTGACTCAGAGCTCGTTCGGGCTCGAGGAATAATTGTTAAACCACTGACAATTAATAAGACCCTGCAACCCCCTCGAAAATGAAAAAAACAACAACATTAACAAACAAACAAACATATATGGCAACTGCCTTACAAAACAAAATGAGTTGAACGTATTGAACGTATGAATTGAATACGCTTATTTCGCATCCATCAGTTTTCAATCCTTAATTTGATGTAATCAACCCACCCAAACTAATAAACTTCTAACCATCTTGTATTGGCTTAAATCTTATAGAATTTTGCAGCTCTTGCTTATTTTAATAATACCACAGCAGTAATTTAAAATAAAAACAATAATCAGTAGCATAAGACGTAAACTTTCTAAGTTTCGCCCTGAAAATTTGACATCAACATGTTGTATTATATGTTGTGGGGTGTATGCAGTTTGCAAAAGTAGAACGCTCTTGTGGCTACACGAGGACATAAGTCACCCCGCAAATAATGGCAGCGTGCATAATGTAGGTGTTTTTGCCGTATTTGCGAACTTGAACATTATGTTTTCCTTTTTTCCTATTGTAGTGGGAAGCCCTTGGAATTCTTGCGTTCAAAAGAAGCTGTGCGAATGTGATGCCGAGGCTGCAAAATGCTTTAAGAAGTACGATTCAAAATTCAATGAGAACCACAAGAACTACCCGAAATCAACGTGCAAATGAAGTGAATAGTTTTACGTATTAAGAAGCATTATTAGAGAAGGCTTCTTTTCAGCTAGGAACACTATAATTAGTTCTGGTTAATCTGTCAAAGACAAAGTATTGAGCAATCGAAAATAAAGCATTAAAAGTCACTCAATATTATGTTCTTCATTCTTTATGTATCTAAAAGGTTGAGTCTCTCTTTGGGTACCTGCGGACGTGGTTCAGGAATTGCTTTTCGAGGCGGAAACGCAATCAGCTTGAGCAACCACGACGACGGAAACGAAGCAACATTTTCAACAGCAAGATAAAAACTAATCAGATGAAGTGCTGGCAAAAGGAAACTCATCGATATCAATTATCTCGGGCAAAAAACGATTCAGAGATTTCACCAGATCCAGATCACCAATTAGATGCCAACCTCTACAGATCTAAAATCTGGAGACTCTCTCTGTTGCACTACCTCCTCGAATATCAACGGACCCCCCCCTCCCAAATCCTCCCAGCCCCCAGATTATGATATAGGAATGGCTTCCGACATTATATGAAGTCTTGCATGAGGTACATACCATCAAACCAGGGGCAGACCACCCTCTGTTAGTGGGGGCCGTTGTTGATTGAAATCTGAGCAATGAACTTTTGTTATTTATAGAAGAAATACATATGAACAATACGGTGGCTATAATTTGTTCCAAAATGCAGAATTTAAAGCAAATTTTGAATGAAAGTTTGAAGAAAATGTTAACTGAGTCATTTGTCATGTTTTTTTCGCCGTCCCGTTCTGATTTTAGCGCTATTTTGCGAGATGAATATTTGACCTCGGCGGTTGGAACTAAAGAAGGAGACAAGGCAGGCAGCAATCAGCCGCCGGCGAGTGAACCAGTCCAATTCAAGCTGGAACTGACGCCAAACTGTTTAATATCTTACCTCGAAAATACCGGCTCCCGATCCACTAGATATGTATCCATGCCCCATTCGAATGAGAGCTCAATCCTTCCAAATTTTCTCGAGAAAACCGATCCTGAAGTTGCAAGACCAGCTTTCTCAACATGACCGGTGCAAAAATCTCAACCAAAGGCATTTGAGGTATGCGCGTCGATTCAAATCCACCAGTCAGCGTATCGCGACCGTTGGCAGTTCAAAACCGCAGGGTTGTGGTTTTGAACTGCCAACGGTCGCGATACGCTTAATTCAGTTCAATTCTCCTGGTCTACAATTTGATGATTGGATACTCTAAAACGAATAGATCCGAGAGTGCTTTTGATAAAAAGATAAGGAAACCCGGATTAAAACTTAACCCCGGGTTAGCGCTAACCGGCGTTCGAACAACTGGGCCCAGGTTGATGTGACACTCGTTAACACAGTGTGAACAGGAAGGAGTTCATACTTAACTGGATAGCCGTTCACGTCCACATGAAAAGCCATTCGGTATTGTGTACACATCCCTCAACCTTGCCCTGATTACCAATCTCGCACCCAAGAACGTGAACCAGTCTATAACCAAAATCTGTTAGAAATAAACCATCAAGATAACGGCTCGTTATAACCTTTTATTTAAGCAATAGACCACACTTTCTATGGGTTTACCGGCGTGATAACCCGCGCGGGGTGTTGGGAGAACAGCAGAAATGCTTGTAAATCACTGGCCGAAGGCGATTGATTTACAAGCTTCTCGAGTGGTCTGCCAACATCCCAAGTCGGTTATCACGCCGGTAAACCCATAGAAAGTGTGGTCTATTGCTTAATTATAAAATAACTTTAAGTTTTCTATGAGTTTATCGGCACAATAATCCATATGTTTTTAACGTACTATCTTAGTTATTTTATAGTGATGAATGCTCTAAATTGCTTTGCAAAGTGGTCGACTGGACTCCGGAGAAATGATAATCAAGATAGTCAATATCAAGAGAGGATAAAGGGGACAGAGAAGGCATCCCACATACACACCCTATTCCACAGGTAATTCGTCTCGAGTTATTTTTAAGACCACAGATCCCAAGGGGGATTAAACAACAGCAAAGCACATAGCGCGAATGTGTTCCGAGTGGATGACCCACGTTCAGAGCCACGTGTCCTTCACGAATTGACGCAGAAAAAAATGGCGGAAGACGCGGAGAGCAATATTTTTATTTGTTTTGTCGACGAAAACGGCTAAAGACGGATTTCTGCTAAAGCTGTGTCAGCGAAACGGAAATTAAAAAAGAATCGCCCTTCCTCTCTTGTATAGAGCTAACAGTACAGCAGGGAAATCCTTAACACGCTGAATATTCTCTCAGGATCATTTATAATTTACAGTTTGAAGAGAGCAATTTCTGGTTTGATGTTTATTCTTTTATTAGTCTTCTATTATTCAACAAAAATAACACTTGGCGTCGTACTTGCTTTATTGTACAAACGACCGGTTTCAATAGACCGGCGAAATTTCTCATTTTATTAAAGCACTGAGGTAACGACAACCTCGAGTTAAACTGATTTAACGGGTTGTCAAAGAGTCCAGCGATTCCTTTTTGCCAGGTGAGCGCCGACTCGTTTCGCTTCAATATTCATAAATGCTTTCGTTCTCTTTACGCTTTCATTGCCTTTCGCCCGACATGTTTTGCACGGTGTTTAGTCATGCGAAACCTCCACGAAACATCCACGCAGCGCGCGAGGTAACTTTATCCCGATTCTAAAAATAACTCGAGACGAATTACCTATGGAATAGGGTGTGTATGGGAGATGCCCTCTCTGTCCCCTTTACCCTCTGTTGATCAGGAGCACGAAACTCTAACTAAATATCTAACTAAAATTGTTAATTGTTAATTGCAGTTTGCAAACATGATCCAGTGTTCCACAAATCGAAGCATGTGGGATTATTATGATTATGGCTGCTGGTGTGGGTTTGGAGGATCAGGATCAGGGCAGCCTGTAGATGGCACTGACAGGTGATCATTCCTTCTGGGCGATAGAGCCAGGAAGGAATGTATTGTAGTTCTACTGAGCCTTATAATGGCCTAATGGCTTCTTTTTGATGCTTCACAAGAGGTATATGAAAAAGAACGGGATTTTAGTAGCTGGAGTATATGAAAGGGTGGGAAAATCTGTCAGTTTGGTCTTTAAAAAGGCCCAAAAGGGCCAGCAGATGAATTTCATGGCTGTGAAAGAATCAGAAAACGTTCTGGTTTTGTGATTAATTCATATCTAAAAGACGGTGCATTTACAGCAGTTAAAAGGGATGCAAAATTCTAAACTAGGTATGTGAAAGGGATATTTTGACAATAGAAGGTACATAGAATGGTACATAAAAGGGTGAGGGGTTGGACTTCGGGGCGGAGCCTCCCCTACAGGTTTGTTGTTTACCCCCTCCCTCCCCCTGCTTTTAGTCTGCTAAAAGATGGATTGGGATTGGCCGTTTTTATGCTACGTTTGACGACTTTAAGAACGTCCTCTGCATCTGAACGAATTACTTTACAGACGACTTTAAATTCGTCTAGTATAAACGGGACGCTGTAAACTGGAACGCGGATATGCCCAATTTGTCTAGAAACCGGACTAGAAGGAGGTAGTGTTTTGCCTTTTTTAAGAAAACTCTGTTTTGTTGCATTGCCGTCGTCTACTTTTCATGGATCCCCTCTTACACCAAGTGACTAGTTAGCTTGAGTCTTTTGCTTGTTTTTTAAAAAGCTATTTGGACTTCTTTATAGCCGATTGCTTCGTGCGTTCCCTTGCGCCTTCTGAGTGCATATGCACCACGAACAGGGAAATAGCGCAGATTAGTTTGCTGTTCCTCTGGACAAAAATAATGAAGACCTTGTGGACAAGTTTGATTCTAGTTTTGCCGCTAGTATTTGCTCAAGTTTGGCAACGTTTTATTCTTTTTATCGCTACAATTGATGTCGTCAATGTGGTAAGAATTTGCACGGTAAAATTTACCTAAGAGTCTAAACCATTCGCTCCAAAGCTCATGTTTAAAAACGTGTCCTTGACCTAAACTGTTAGCCTGAGAAAACAGCCGACATTTGGCGACGCTACCACTGGTTTCCTCGCCAAATGACATCTGAGCAACAAGCATAGAAATTCGATACTGATGACCTGTCATTACTCAGATCTGGGTAGTGCTTCTGATTGGTTAAATCAAATTTCCTACGCGACACAACCAATCAGAAGCACTACCTAGATCTGGGTAATGACGCGTCATCAGTATAGAATTTCGTCACTCACTTCTCAGACGTCATTTGCGTGGAAACCAGTGGTAGCGTTGCCAAATGTCGGCTGTTTTCTCAGGCTAGTGATACGGAGGCCGTGTTATAATAATAATAATAATAATAATAATAATAATAATAATAATATTTATAGAGGGAGCCCAACTCGCCAAGGCGGTTTTCAGTGGGGCCCTCATGCATTAATCTAACTAATTAATTAATTATTACGAAAAAAGTAAAATATGTTTACAAGTAAAACAAATTTAAAAATTTAAAATCTTAAAATCGATCATACAAAAAATATCAAGGTTTAAAAATTAGCTGAGATCTTTTAAAAAAGTTTTTAACTTGGATTTAAAAATAGATAAAATATTACACTCTTTTAAATCATTTGGAAGGCTGTTCCAGTCTTTCGCGGCGTGAAAAATAAAAGTTTGTTTACCCCAGTTTGTTCTGGGTAGGGGTAAGCGAATATCATTAGAGCGTCTTGTATTATATGAATGAACAGCTTGACTTTTAGTAAAATTAAAGTTGAAATCGGTTTCTCCAATAAGACACTTGTGGATTGCAATGCAGCGATGAAAAAACCTTCTTGTGGACAGTGACTTCAAATCTAGACTTTTCAGTGCTTCAGTTGACGAGCTTCGGGGTGGTTGCCCCAGTATAACTTTAGCAGCTTTATTCTGTAGAATCTGTAATTCTGACATGATGGTGTCATTGTTCTTGTCCCCCCATATAACGTCTCCGTAATCAAAAAGAGGGAGGATTAGGGCATTGTACAAGGCAACTCTAGCTTGTAGCGGCAATAGATTCCTGATTCTCCTAACTAGGCCTATTCTCTGATTAATCTTCATGCTGATAGCATCGACGTGATCTGCCCAGGAGATAGACTGTTGAAGCGTTACGCCTAGGTATTTGAATGATTGTGTTCTTTCAATGCCAGTGCCCTCTTACTTTAACCGAAATGCCTTGAATACGATTCAGTTTCTGAGGACTTCCAAAGAGGGTATGTATTTTGCCATAGAAGCACCTTTCTCATAGCAATGTCATTTTCCCGAAAGATGATTTAAATTTCAAAATATTTTCCGAGAGACTGATGATCATTTTTAAACCTAAGCAATAGCCTAAAAATCGCCTCCACAGGAATCCTATGTCTAGAAAGCATTTTGCAAAGTCGTCAATACACCCACCCGTACCTGTTGGGCATCCAATAACAGCCTTTTAAATTCATTTAATTCAAAATTGCCGCCGTATCGATAAAAAGGTCCCTAACAATATTGTTTCCTTCATAACAGCTACTTTCCGTCGACTACACAACAAATAAAGGCACAAGATGATATGTAAAAGTTTGTCTTTCAGTTTTTTGTCGCCTACTTTATTTAGCAAGACCCTAAGTTTAATAAAATAGTGCTTTGTTGATGTGGATCTGGCATATGTTGGTCGTCTTAATATCGACTCCGCTAACCAAAATCGGCTGAGAGAATGCTTAAACCGTTTGAAACATGTTATGATATCGATATTCTTGAAGATTACTATAAACAATTTAGGGAATATTAAGACAATGTTGAGAAGATTTGTCTGTCGTTTAATACTAGCTTGTTTTTTTTTTTCCTTGTGCCTGAATCCGAGTACCCTCTTGATGACCTTCAAAAACAATGAAAGAATGCTCTGTGTGAATGTGACAGCGAGGCTGCCAATGCTTCGCTTCATCAAGTTTTAATCATTCATGTTTAAACTACGATACTACTAAGCAGGGAAGGCGGAGGGGGAGGGGCTGGTAGGGCTATGCCCTACCACTTTTATTGCTGGGATTTATATTATAGGATTCCAGTTGATATGGAAAAAATTCCCGTGGAATTATTGGACTTTGACCTATGGAAGAGTGGGATCCTGTTGGTGGTGTTAAAGCTTGTTAAAGATTCCAGAACCGGAAAAGAAGCTAATTCTGGAAGTCCAAACTAATCTGTAAGCTGCTTGCTGTAAATCCTACTACTGTACGTACGGCTTCTGAAGACGTGGCTTCGATCCAGGATTGGTGACGAAAGGTTTAGCAACCAAGTAGTAATGTTGAATGGTCACAAGCTGAGAACAGAAGTGTCTCTATAAAGCTGACGACGCACAGGAGTTTGTTTCCAGCAATGAGGACCGCAAAAGAAACCTCGGCACTGCGGGCAACTTCAAAAAGTAGCAATCTTAGGAAGGTTTATTTAACATATTGACTATACTGAATACCACAACACGTGACGACGTTTATGGAGGGGGGCGTAAAGGGAGTACGAATACCGCAATACCGCACATGGTAGCGCGAGAATACCGCAATACCAAATCAAAATTTAGCCAAATACCGAAACCGCAGTTACAAATGTGAAAAAGTCGACATTGTCAATACTACAAATCCCCCTTTCAAATAGAAATAATACTTTTACGTCAGTGTTTCCAAATCAAGGTGCGTCGAAGTCAGGCGTACGATAAACATAAGATCATCGCACTCGTTTAATTTTGCTCATAACATGTATACGTTTACTTAAATGATACAACGGGGGTACTTGGGTTAATTTTTGCTGGGTATGTGCCGCTGGCCTCTCAGAGCACCTACCCCATTATAGTCTATTCTGTGGCCAATTATAGACCCCATCTTAGTCACTTTTGGACAAATATTTAATTTTTTCGATCCCAGCTTAGTCACTTTCTAGATTATGAATTGACCATTTGTTAGACTGAATGAAGAACGCTTTACTTTTCATCTACAGTACAAACATTCTGGTACGTTTGCTAACCGTAAATATGAAGAACTGTCTTACCCCCAAAAATCAGAAAATGCACGACCTCACTCTAGTAACTCTCTGAAAATGCGACCCCAGTATAGTCAATCCACTCGTGAAAATGCGACCCCATCCAGCGGCGCATCCCCATTGGCCTCTTATAAGGAAGTAGCCCCCACGCGCCTTGGGCTGCCATGCTTCGTTGGCTAAGCAAACACGAATACTTGCACATTCTATATTCCTGCATGCACAACGAGAAGGACGAGTAGTAATTTTTAGACCACACCATCTTCACAGATTATCTTTCGACACTACGAAATTTATAACGACCTCACTGACCTCACTATTTGCTGGAATATCTGACTGATGACTTGGTTGACCCTCTGGATCGCTCGCCATTGTTTCGCGACTGGCACGAAAGTGGCGGTAAGATTGGTAAGGAGGTTTATAACCCAGCTGACTATTCCCACAAGGTCCATGAGGTCATAAATCATGCGACATGTTTACGTATCATTGGATAAAAAAGTTAATGTCGTTAATCATATCAAGTATTAACTGAAATACAAGCCATACGATTTGTATGAGGATTTGCACAATGTACGATCCCCGACTGTGCAACTATAGGAAGACACGCAGGTCACGCAGGCTAGCTAGGGAGACCTTTTAGAATTTATATCCTCTTGTCATGAAAAAGAAGCAGATCACCGCGACGCAACGATTTTATCACCGACTACCGCGACATAAAATTTAAACTCACCGCACACCGCTTGGACTCTGAAAACTGCAATACCGTACTTTGAAATAAAAATTACCGCAACAGCGCACCAAAAAAAAAACCAATACTGCAATACCCAATACCGCAAACCCTTACGCTCCCTCTTTATGTTATATTTGTTGAGGCTGTAAATAAGATGGCGCGCAAATGCAAGATAAATGGCGAAACACTGAACTTAATGCTTCTTTGTACTGACCAGATTTTTTAGCCCTACCACTTTAAAATGGTCTTCGCGGTCCATGTACCAAGTGTTGATGCTGGTGACCTTCCTATAGGACCAAGAGAGATCATTATACACTTAATGTCAGATCCCAAGGGAAACAGTTAGTTTTGTTTTCCCGTGAGTCCTGATGTTTCCCTCGACTTCGTCTCGGGAAACATCAGGACTCGAGGGAAAACAAAACTAACTGGTTTCCCGAGGGATCTGACATTAGGTGTTTTGTTATATTTCTAGAACTTTCACTTAAACAGCAACAAAAGAATAACCGGAGCGAACGAAAACGGACCAAAACAGTCGACTCGGTACTTATAACAACACAAATTTAATTCTCAAAAGCACTGAATGAATGATTTACAAACAAAAGTACTTTCCTTATATCATCTGCATCTTTTTCTCCACTAGCTGCTGTTTTTCTTCTGGGAACTTCTGGGATAACTTTAAAAATCGTTGCTTTTTAGCTTGAGGCTTCGTGATTGTGTTGTTGTGTTCATTCACGAAAAAGAAAACCGGCAGGACCTGGCGGTGTTTTTCCCGCCTTCTGTCACGCCACTTTCTACCATGCTTTGATCACGTGCTGCAATGTATCCCGAGCGGGATACATTGTTTAATGTATCACGATCGGGATACATTTGATTTTAGTCAAGGCCACGTGACCAAGAATCAACCAATGGCAGTCCCTGTTTAGTTGAGTGAAATTCTAGGAATATAACAATCCCTCTTGATAGGACTGTATATGAAACATATATTATCATAAAGGAATTGTCCAAATAAAAGTTATATTATTTTGCCACTTATTACGCATTGATTTAAAGTGTATTTGAAAAGCTTTTAAAGGACGTAATCGATCATTTAAACATTATCTCGTAAAGTGTCTCCACAGAGATGAAGTTTGGCTTATATAAATGAGTCACTTTCTATCGACTGGACGCACCTAACCGAATGCAGCACCACACTATATTCAGTCATGTAAAGTTGATTCGCAGGCCTCTTTAATTTTTTGTTTAATACTACCTCAGCATCCTCACAAATTTGACAGCAAAAAGTACAGAACGTAAAAAGGCATTTTTGACCTTAACGCTACTTTTTTCCGTATATCATGCTAAGAAGGAAAACACATTCAGACAAAAAAACTGTCAGGGCACCTAGAGACCAAACCAAAATCAGAAGTTACGTTCTATAATCATTGCAGCTGTTTTGGGTGTATCATTGCCTTCTGATGATTCGGTAACCACGGCAACCCAGAGTTGCCAAACTCCAAACACAAATTTTGCCAAAAATATTTCGTTGGAAGCAAAGTTCAACAAATGGTAGAACTCATTTAGCTCCACAGAGATAAGTTTCTTATATAAATGGGAACTCTTTATCGACTGGACACACCTAACCGAGTGCAGGACCACCCCGACTGTATTGGCGTAACGGTGCTTCTTTATTTTTTATTTAGCTTATAAACATTATTTAATCGAGACTAGCCCAGCAGCCTTAAAAATTGACAGCAAAAAATACAGACCATAACCAGGCATTTTTGACGTTAACGCTACGTATTTTTTTTCATGGTGATATCATGATAAGAAGATACATCCGTTAGGTCACGACACCGAGATAACGTAAGTAGGAGGTCTGTACAGCTGTGTTTAGTGTTGTATTACCCTCTGATTACTCGGTAACCACGGCAACCCAGACTTGCTAAACTCCAAACACAAATTTTGCCAAACTTAATTGCGTATTAAACAAAGTTCAGTGAATGATAAAACTCATCCAAAAATTGTCAAGGAGGATTGTGTCACTTTTAGACGGTGCAGGAAATTTTTTTTGTTTGTATGGAACCTCAAGCTTTTTATTATAACCTGAGGGACAATATTCTTAGAAATATGCTCCACATTGTTTGAACGGAGAACAAATAAAACAATTTATTAGGGATACGCATGCGCAGTCTTTGTCGTGGTGGAAGACAGAAGCAACAATGAAAGGCTCTTTTCTTCTTCTGAGCATAGTACGTACTGTTCTTCGCAGGTATCAGTTCACATGGAATAGAGAACAAAACCCCTGTGAAACGTACGATACGTTTCGATGTGTTTGGTATTTACGAAACTGCTTTTGCTTTGTTGCCAATTTTTAATATAAGTTTATTATCATATGAGGACAAGTGTCACAAAAATAAATTAGCCGTTATTTTGTAATTTTATGTTCTTCGTCAAATCGTGCGCCGCTCACATACAACCATAAATAATAAAATGAACGAACTTTGCGTTTTAAAAATTATAAATGAAAAGCTGGTAATAGGCGGTAGATTACCTTTAATAGGTTTATCGCGTCCGGTCTTTATTTTCCAAAACAGTTTGATTAATTCAATCTCTAATTTCAAATTTTTTGTTTTAGTAAAACAGAAAGAGAGAAGGAGAGAGAGAGAGAGAGAGAGAGAGAGAGAGCGGAGAGAAAAAATGTTTTTGAGTTCTTTTCTTCAACTCAGTATTAAGGCGCCCGGCTTAGAGTTTGTAAATGAATCGCAAAATAACATTAACACAGAGTTGGATGGAAGGGTGGTGATGTGCTTCTCATATATTCTATTAATTAAAATCGAATCCAAATGACTTTCTTATAATTCCTTAGGTACAGTTGATTGTCCCTTACTTAGTTCATTTTATAAATATTAGTATGCGCAAATATGTTTTAACCGTTGCGTATTCTTCAGGCGAAAAAAATAAAGTAAGCACTTTTAGATAACAGTTATCATCATTATCACTATGTCACGTCGCACCCTCTACTGTTATTAGATCTACAGTTATTACTGCTGTGTGTATTATTATTATTAGTATTTCATTGCCTTCGAATATTGGCAAACCACGATAACTGGAATAGCCAAACTCCAGCAGCACTTGACATCGTTGTCGGTATCGAATGCTTTCCGCAGGTCAATGAAAATCGCACCAGTCAACCGGCCTTGGTCAATGTAAAGAGCGCAGTCACTCTCTAACAATTAGCCAGTCCCTAACATAGAAGTCAACCAATTACTCAGTCAGTCAATCGATCAATCAGTCAATCAATCAGTCAATCAATCAATCAATCAATCAATCAATCAATCAATCAATCAATCACTCAATCAATCAACCCTAAAAATAAGTTAGCCATTTAATTCATGAACTTCACTTCTTCGTGTCCCAGTTTCATTCTCAAAGAAGCAGTCTTTCTTGTCGTGGAGCATAGGAGAGGCCATGAAAAGTTCTTTCTCCCTTTTGATCTTCGTGCCGTTTTTAGCAGGAATCACTTCATATGGAATAGGTGAGACAATTCCCGTTAAAGATACCCCACGGTACTCATTGAACTCGTTTTTTTTCAACAATTTTAATCTAAAATTTACACAGTTCGTTTAGCCAAGTGTTTTTCACTCAATGGAAATATTAGAGAGCTTTAGACTCTGAGACGAGGACGACTACGAGCACGAGATTTCTCAATACTGAGTATTGCTTACGCGAAAACCAGAGTCATTTTGGCGAGAAAACGTGATAGCCTACGAGTTTTAGCGAGAACGTCGTAGTAGCGGGAACAAGTTATCCAGTTTTAGAAGTTTAATCATTTGGCGACCTGAACAGGGCTAAAACATTCTTCAATAAAAATAACCGCACTAATGCTTCAGGTGAAAAAAGGACAATGAAGCGATCTGTGTTGAATATTTTCCTAGAATACGCGAAAAATTGTTAAGTTAAATCTCGCACTCGCAGTCGTCTTCGTCCTCAAATCTAAAGCTCTCTGTTAGATCACCAATTCAACCACGTTTCTATGGCTTAAGAGGGATGAAGGTCTCTTGTGCAGACTGCAAAACTCAGCCGAGCTTTTTAATAACCGACCAAAGAATAGCACATCAAAAATGAAGACACATTTAAACATTTCTTTTTGTTTTTAAGGTGTATTTATTATATTTCACAATATAATTTTCTAAAAAAATATATACCAAATTTATTGACATGGAAATAAAGTTATTATCGTTATCTTCATTAGAAGTGTGGTTTTAATAAGTGTTAGCTTCGCTTTTCACAATAGGACGGAGATACCACAACGAGTTTATTAAGGGCTTTACAAACATTTTTCAACCAAGCTTGGGCATAGGGTCAAATTAACAAAATGGTGTGACTTTTTTCGTTTAGCAGGTGTAATTAATAAGGTCGCGCCCCAGCTGTGTTGATTTTGTTGCTGCTCAGCAGCGGTAGGTAATTATTTATTCGGATTTGCTAGAAGAGACGAATACCTAGCCAAACCTTATCAGCGAACCTGTATTTTGTGGTCAATCACTTACCAAAGTCCCGGAAATCACTTTGTTTAATTATAAAACTAACCTGTTGTTACCTTTTCCGAGGCCCCAACGAGTTATTTTTCATTGTCTTCACCTCTATTAAACTGTCACTTTGACAATTTGCACTAGTATGGTATTAGTACAACAGTTACAGTGTGTAACCTGTATTAAGCGGTCAGTAAGCCACTGATGCCCCATGGCTGATTCCTGAGGGGGATCTTGAGACCATATTTTCAAGGTGTCCACAACTATGCGCTGAAATGATAAAACTTTCTTTATGTGTAAAAATGGACTTGGTAAGTGTTCGTTATTTGTTATATCAGTCAATGGCTGAAAAGTCAAAACTTGGACTCTTAGATTTTCTGCTAAAGAAAACCCTAATATGGAGGAAGCATTGTTCGATTGGACGATCGTGTTGCAATATGACGTCAAAGCAAAGTATCGATTGAGTTCTAGAAAGTTCTCGGGCATGAATTTTTTTCACCTGAGCGTTCGCTTAACCAACCAAAAGCCACGCGCGTTTGTGTCCGTTCTATAGATCAATCAAATCGCTCTATTTCCGTTCATTTGTTGTTTCTGTTTTGTTCACGCGTTTTCATTTCAAGGTCATTTGAAAATCGCTTTATTTTTGCTTTGTTTTTTGTCTACTCCGAGTATCTAAAATGACCAAGTCGATTTTTAACTCGAAGTAAGATTTTAGACGTTGCTCCATTCTTGCACTGTTTGCAAATTATTTTTTCTCCTAAGTCACCCAGCTTCACCCTTAAACGTCATATGGATCACCCCAGTTTGATTTAAATTATAAACTTATTAACTAGAGCTTGGCTAAATCTATATATTACATCTGGTATTCTGCAAAAAAACTTTGCGGTTTATTGGTAATGAAGTAAAACATGAGACGAGGTTGAAGAATTTATGTTCAACGCCGTAAAAATGGTAGTTAAAATGGTAGTGGTGCAGCCCCTCCTAAGAAGAATCCTGGACCCGCTCCCGAATTTTGACTGCCTCGTGTAGGCTTTCGGATCGATTGTACTCGCAAAAGTAGCACAATATGCTACTAGTAATGCTAGTATATTTCTCCTTGAAAATTATGCCAATAATTATGCTAGTTTTTGTAAATTATGTTCTTAAAGTAAAAAAATATAGAAAGTATGAATTTGGTAAAAACACCTCAATAACTATGCACGAATCAAGTTAATGGCAGACACATTAACCCTAATTATCAGTAGCGACTTTACCGGTGTATAATTTATTGTATGACAACTTTAAAAACTCTAAAATTCCGTCCGAACTTCTGTCTTCTCTATTCCGAATACCGTTGTCTTTACCTTATTCCGTGCCAAGAGTTTGGCGAATCCAGCTTCCTGGGTAGCGGTCAAATCCCTATCCTGCAATTTATTTCGGTCAAATCCTGGATCTCGAGAATACCAATCCAGACACCGATTGCAGTCGTACTTTGCCTCAACAATAAGGCTATCATTTAGAGGTGGAGATGACACGTAAATCTAAATGTCTGATCTGCAAAGGGCAGTACAGCCCATCTTCAGCAGATGTAATAAAGACAAATAAGACAGAGGGCCAATAACTAAAATCATTTAGATTGCTGTAATGGGGGTCAAACATTTCCAAAGTATTGGACCTGGGGCATCAAGTAATTGTCCCGAATGATTCCTCGCAAACCCGTGCAATCAAGAGGATGAACAAGTTTGATGTCCTCCGAAGAATTTGCCCTAAAACTTAAGATTAGAAAAGGTTATATAAAAAAATGTTTTCAAAGACACAACGGATGAATGTCAAGCAGCTGTGATTAGAAAAAGTTAGTTATAGCTTACAAAAAATCTTACCTGGCAAAATCCTCACATTTTATAATATGTACTTTTACAGGTTTATAAAACAAACCCAACAAAATCTTTTCCTACTGAAGTATCGGATGGCCCCAAGCTATAATCGCGAGATAATTTATCTTTACGTTTTTCGTATACAGTTTAACTGTGTTGAGGAATTGTTATCTTGTGAAAATCTACCAATGAATTTTTCAGTCGTGTAATAAATCTCCTGTAATAAAGCTTGCTCAAGACCGTTCAGGGAAAATATCGACTCGTCCTTTTTTTGTAAGGACCTCGCTGGGCTTGGTCGGTTCTGTCAAGACCTTGGGCCAATATTCTACAAGTACGGTCCTTGCACTTCGTTGATAACATACACATACAATCTTATAACCCTTATTTACACGGGCTTTAACAGGCAAGGAGAGAGGATGGCGTTCGTATTCTCGGTTTTCACATTACGTAATCAAAATTGAATGATCAATCCTCCTGAGTTTTTATCTTCACAAATTATTAGAGCAGCTAAAAGCTAAAATCTATACATTTTTTTTCGAAAGGGTTCCTCGTTTTGTGATAGAGATATGCTTGAATTTCTAAGCTTTTGCGTGATGCGAAATTTACATGGTGGCCGAGAAAGCTGTCGCAGAGGTTTAATTTAATTGCATTAGAAAAAGTAATACTTTAGTGTTTATGAGTTCCTCTAAAGATGAATTGCCGCTTTAGTAGAAAAACTCAGCGACAGATATTTCTGTTGGTTTCCTGGCGTCATGTTGGTGTCCATCCGGATGGGCACCATACAAAGCTCTATACATTTATGAAAATTGTACTGACCTGAATCTTTGCGAGGGTCTTCGAATATTCTTCTTCTTCTGTTTCCCAGATACTGGACTTTATTTATTAAACGGTTTTGATCTTTTGGAATTTTTTTTATTTTTAATGGCTTGACAGTGAAAACCAGCGATTAGTGTTGCTCAAACTGCGACCAGAGGGTCTTTTTTCAGAATGCTGTTTACCAATTCTTTTTGCAGGTGCTGTTATGCGCACGACATGTGTTATCGTAAGTTGCAACAGAAAGAAGCTTGCGGCAAGTCTTATCGCATTGTTCAGTTGTACTTAACTCCCTACCTACGGAAGGGGTGTTCGGGTTGTGGTAAGTACGCTCCCTGATCTAATTGTAATAAAGCGGTAAAGTAAGGGGTGTTCGGGTTGTGGTAAGTACGCTCCCTGAACTAATTGTAATAAAGCGGTAATGTGTGACAAACAAGAATAATTTACTTCACCAAGATGGCTGTCTTACAAGAGGTGACCTCACTGCTAATGGGTATGATAATCACAGGACACCCAGCCAGTATATTACATAATCACTGACAATTAATAAGACCCCGCAACCCCCTCGAAAATTAAAGAAACAACAACAATAAGAAACAAACAAACAAACATATATGGCAACTGCCTTCCAATACAAAATGAGCCGAACCTATAGTGAATCGAATGCGCTCAGTGCAGTATTTCCCACACATCAGTTTCCAACCCTTAATTTGATGTAATCAACACACTCAAACTAATAAGCTTCCAACCATCTTGTATTGGCGTAAATTTTATAAACTCTAGCAGCAATAAATAATAATAATAAAAAATGATCAATAACATACCGTAAAACTCCGAAAATAAGCCCCGGGGATTATATTTTTATATTTTTCAAAGGTCCTTTTGTGAGGTGCTTATATTTGGAGGGGCTTATCTACGGAGGGAAATTTGCGTTTCAAAATCGATTGGGCTAGCCATATAGTTGGAAGTAAATTTACCGTTTTTGTTTTGTTTTACTTTGTATTTGAGGGCAATTTTCCAAGTACAAGCCCCCAGGAGGCTTATATTTGGAGGGGCGACTTAACGGAGGGTTTTTGCGTTACCGGTTTAGGGGGCTTATATTTGGAGGGGCTTATTTTCGAAATTTTACGGTAAGACGTAAACTTTCTAAGATTTTGCACTGAAAATTTGACATCAACATATTGTAGAATATATTGTGGGGTGTATGCAGGTTGCAAAAGTAAAACGCTCTTGTGGCTACACGAGGATATAAGACACAGTGCAAATAATGGCAGCGTGCATAATGCACGTGTTTTTGCCGTGTTTGCGAACTTGAACATTATGTTTTCCTTTTTTTTTCTATTGTAGTGGGACGCCCTTGGAATTCTTGCTTTCAGAAGAAGTTGTGCGAATGTGATGCCGAGGCTGCAAAATGCTTTAAGAAGTACGATTCAAAATTCAATGAGAACCACAAGAACTTCCCGAAATCAACGTGCAAATGAAGTGAATAGTTTTACGTATTAAAAAGCATTAGAGAAGGCTTCTTTTCAGCTAGGAACACTATTAGTTCTGGTTAATCTGTTAAAAACAAAGTATTGAGCAATCGAAAAGAAAGCATTAAAAGTCACTCAATGTTATGTCCTTCATTCTTAATGTATCTTAAAGGTTGAGTCTCTCTGTGGGTACCTGCGGACGTGGTTCAGGAATTGCTTTTCGAGGAAACGCAATCAGCTTGAGCAACCACGACGACGGAAATGAAGCATCATTTTCAACAGCAAGTTAAAACCTAATCAGTTGAATTGCTGGTAAAAGGAAACTCATCAATATCAATTATCTCGGGCAAAAAACGATTCCGAGATTTCACCAGATCCAGATCACCAATTAGATGCCAACCTCTGGAGAGCTAAAATCTGGAGACTCTCTTTTGCATTACCCCCTCCAATGTTAGCGGACCCCCCTTCCCAAATCGACCCAGCCCCCAAATTATGATATAGAAATGGCTTACTACATTATATGAAGTCTTACATGAGGTACATACTATCAAACTTCGTTTTCATCATCGGAAATCATCTTGGTCAGTGACTAAAGACGTGCAAAGATTGACAATAATATGTGCTAAGTTTTAAACTAAAGCACAGAAAAGTTAAAAGTCGATTTTATCTGGGAGATTTTGTGAACCGTATGGGAGAGACATCCATTTTTGTATTTTTGTGGACAAACGCAAAATCCGTTCTGGAATACAAGAATCCATAAATTCGGACTTTCATAAATTCAGCGGAGGAATGCTGTAGTTTGGCTGCCGTCAAACCAAGAAAGTACCCCGGACCAATTTAGAGAATAATTGGGCAGAGAGAGACTCTTAGGGCGTTGTTCGGGATATGTGAATTTCACAACATTTATTTTTACAGATTGTAATCAAACGGCAGTCTAATTCCTGTGAGACGTGCGGACATTTTAATCGATTGTTTGAAACGTCACCAAGTCCTCGCGCGACTGCCTCCAAGCAAATAATTGTAATGGCGACTGTTTAATTATCTCTTGCAACATTGAACAAAAATTTGGTGAAATTCACTTATGGCAAGGGCTTGACCGGGCGTTTCCCTCTCTTTCATTCTGTCTTGCCCGGACATAACGATCCCACAATCCCGCCAGCTACGCAGGCTAGGCTTGGATAAATTCTGCTCGTTAAATGGCTTATTCTGCCTTCCGACAGTGCTTGTAAAAATCGCTTATTCTGCTCAAATTCTGCTCGGTATCCGAAACAATTTTCGTATTTATTTTCGCAAATATATAGAAGAGAGCACGAGTCTAGCTCCTAAAAACTAATTCAATATTCATTACGCGTAGCAAAATAGGCCATTTCCGAGTTCCCCCGGCCTCTGTTTCAAAACGAGAGTAGGTGCTCAGCCTTTGATATGAAAATGATTTTTCATTCTCATGCAAATAAAACTCATCTTCATAAGAAAGGTTGTGCACTAAGCCTCATTTTTAAAGTGAGGATTTTTGGAACTCGGAAGTGGCCTATTGTAATTCATCTTACTTTTAATGTTAGTGCATTGTAACTATTAAATAATCAAATTAGTCACAAGGTATTTTCCATTTGTTTGTTATTTAGTTTTAAAGTTTTCTTATGCATATGATTAGTGCCCCTGATTTTCCCTTACTCTGCTTAAATTTTGCTCGAAAATGCCTTATTCTGCCGGCAGAAAGCTTGCCTCAAAATTTCCCAAAATGCATTTTCAAATAATGAAGAGAATAGTTTGAGGCGTAACACAAGATATTTTGGTTAATAGGGTTAGGGTTGCTGTTTGCTAAATGCTCTGGTCTCGTTATAAACCATGATAAGTCGGAAATATTGTTACTTGGAAACTCTTTCCCCGCGCCCCCCAACCTTAATCATACTCCTTTTAAAGACCTAAAGGTAAATATTTCCGTAAAGATTTTAGGGGTATATTTCACGTATGATCGCCGTCTCAGACGCAAACTTAATTTCGATGAAATTACAAAAACCATTAAAGATAAGTTAAGAATTTGGAAATGGAGGGATCTTACTATCATTGGTAGAATTCAACTGGTCAAAACGTTCATTATCCCCACTTTCTTATACCGTGCTAGCTTAATTTGTATGGATAAGGAATTTGTAAATGAAGTAAACAAAATTATATTTGACTTTATCTGGAAAGGTAAAGACAAGGTGATACGTCGTGTGCTCGTTGGAGACATTGAAGATGGAGGATTGAAAGCTCCACACTTGGATTCTATTATTAAAACTCAAATAATATTATGCTGTAAAAAGCTCGCGAGTGAAGACCTTAGTAGCTGGAAAATTATTCTTCTTCATTACCTAAAACCAGTAGGTGGCAAATTTATCCTTGGCTGCCACTTCGATGTAAAAAAGCTGCCTATCAAGCTTCCGGGTTTTTATGAGGAATGTCTAGATGCTCCGCAGCAAACAAGGTTAGTCTAGACAATATTAATGCAGTGGATATTTCAAAGATCATTCTGTGGAATAATTGTTATATCTTAATTGGTGGTAAAACCGTTTTCAACAAAAGATTAGTAGATAAAGGAATTTTAAGAATAGGGGATCTTATTGCTGAAAACAATGAAATCATAACGAGCATGGATGAATCCGTTAAACACCTTTTTGTCTGTTGCCTGATTACTCAGAGTTTTTGGGCAGAAGTTATTAAATGGTGTAGCAATCGGGGGGTGGTTATTAACCATCTCTCTGCTAAAGATATATTATTTGGGATAAAGGTACATAAAGACAATTTATTTATTAATCATATTTTGCTAGTTGGTAAGCAGTATATATATAATTGCAGATGCACGAAAACAAACCCTTGTTTACGGGTTTTCTTGGCAAGACTCAATAACGTTTATCAATTAGAAACTATCATTGCCAAATCGAAGAATAAACTGTCTTTTCATTTGTCGAAATGGCAAGCACTCTTGACAGGTGGTACACAATTGCCGACAAATACTTGTTAAGGTTTAGTAGTATTGATACTGTCGTCGTGTGTCGTGTGTGCCTGCGTGCGTGTGTGAATTATTTGTGTATTATTTTTAAAAATTGTAATGTCGGTAATGTATGTAAAAATTAATGTCATTATTGTAAGGCAAGAAATTGAAGTAAACAGTGATTAAATTACAAAAAAAAATAGTAATAGGGTTAATCAGCGGGGGGGAGGGGGGAGGGGGGAGGGGGGAAAGCCACTTCCCATACATTGTCTTAAATGAAATCCAAATGATGTTCTCACAACTTGCAAAGCGATCAGCGGGGGTCTTGCCAGCGGATTTGTGTACTGATCATGCGCATTACGTCAAAACCATAGATCAACGGTCTAGAGAAGAAACAAGAACATAACGGTCGAAGACGGGACTGTTTCTCACTATTATATTTTGGTAATTCGCAAATTTATTGATTTTATGTCGTTTTTCAGACATAGTGTGTGGTTTTCTTTTTCTGTTGAACAATTTCCCCCTGCAGAGTTTGGAATATGCAACATATAGCTACGTATAGCTGATAAGAACCGCCGAAGAGTTGAGCTATCGATCAGTGTTTTGCTGCAAACCTTAGGAAAGTTAAAGTCGCTTCAAGGTACAGAGCTTTCAGCAGTAATTGTGATTTGTTCATTAGAATCGTTTTAAATTTAACTTTGGATTCAAGGGTTGACTGATCGTAATAAATGAAGTGAAATGTTATGAAGTGTGAATGTTTATTCAGCTCTGATATGTAGGGCTGTAAGCTCATATTTATACAGGTCTCTGAATATATACTTGCTTTCGATGAATTTGGCGCTTTCTCCAGTAATTTTTATCAGCATCAAGTTATCCTTGCCCGGCAAAAACGATGTAACCTATAAATCGATCCAGCGCGTTGTTGTTGGTTAAGATCTAACACGGTTGCGTTTTATCCATGACTAGTACATTTCAGTGTGAGTATTGTCAATGTTTTACATGAAAAAGATGCAATAAATTGATACTAAAATGTACTAGTCATGGAGGTATGTAAAGTGGGTATTAATTTGGAAAAATTAGCATAACGTTAAAACAGTGAATGTTGTAACGCAGATTTTTGACATGTTCGTAGGATAGGTTTGTCTTGAAATTTTAAGATGTTGCAGTGAATCAATCTCAATGAACGTTTCAGACCTTATTATATACATTATGAAGATTATCTGAAGAGATTTTAAAAAAATTCGTGCTAGTCGTTTCAGAGATATACAAAAAAGCGCTAAAAGTCCAAATTTTGAATGAACTTGCACTTACACAGGTGGTGAGAAAACGGGTTAGTTTTGAAGATCGCAAGAACAAAAATACACCAAAATTTCCTGGGATCAAAATATGATATTAAACAACATTCTGACGCTACTTGAGAATAATTTGAGTCATTTATAACGTTTTTATCAAATAATCTATCACGGCTAATGAAAATTTAAGGTTTTAAATATATTTTCGTTTTAGTCGAATTCAACCATACAGAATTCCTTACTTCTTACGGAGGTTGTTTGCTAAACACCAAACTTTAAGTTCCTAGTGTTGGATTTTTAGCAGCTGGTCTAAATCACACAAAATTCGTCTTTTATCAATTTCAAAGTTTTTTGTTTATTGTTGTCATAGTAATATCGATTTTAAATAAAACTACATTTTCACAAATTTCAACCCATAGCCAATTACTGGTGAAAATTTTATAGCGATCGGATAAGAAAAAAACACTTTAAAAACGATTGAAAAATATCGGTATGGCCTCTGAAAAGCTATATCGAAAGACCTTAAAGCGAATGAATTTTACCCGACTATAATCACTTACATATGCAGGTGTTATAATTAAGAGAAATCTTTGAGAAGCAAGATTTTTTGCCCTTTAGAGATGTTTCAGTTTGCGAAGAATTCAAGGGTCGATAATTTATCAAGAAAAGTATTTGACATAGATGGTCATAAAATTTTTAATAATCCACCTAAAAATAATGAATTTTCATCGATAGCAGAGGTGTCAAACACGATAGGGTTTAAAAAAATACCACTTATGGGGTCGAAAAATGAAATACGTTAATGAATAGGCTAATGTAGACTATGGATTAAACATATCACAAATCATGATAAGGAAAACTATGTATTCATTGAAAATGTTGAACAAATGCTGATATTCCCTGGCAGACGTGATCATGATATGCTTTAAACAATTTAATATTTATCGATAATTAGTATGGTCACAATTATGTTCGTATAAGAAAAGAAGCTGTTTAAATAAACCCTAAAACAATTTTCGTATAATACCTTTTAATAATATTTCACAAAAACTTCCTGAGGATTTGGAATTAAGTGGGGAAAGCTTAAGTTTAGGCGTTTTGTATCAAACCATGAAATCTTTCGTGGGAACTCTTGTTATAATAGCTTTGTCTCTCTTTCAATACGGACAGTCTAATGCATCAGACCAAAAGGTATTTTAACTTGTATTGCTATTTTGTGTTTTAAATTAAGGTGTCCGCTTTAAACTGTCTTTAAGTAAACCGTCAAAGAGCACTTGAGTCCTTCGACACTAAGACGTTTCAAATTGTATTCATGTAGTAATAACATAAAATGTTCAAGGAAGTATCGGGTGTTGGCTTTGCTTATAAAACGATTGCTATTTTCAACCGCTGCCATCCACGTCGTAGTTGCTTACACTCAATACCTGGACAAGAATTATGTCAATTTTAACATAAATCAGTAATCAATGAAGTTGTGTAACTTTTATCGCGATAAATAGGTACATTAAAGAGAAAATGGTTTCTATGACTTCTTTAGTAGTACATGTATGTTTTCACTTTAATGACCTTAATAAAATGCAAAGTTTCGAGAATAGTAGCTTCATTGGCCGTTAGCAACTGTTATAACAGGTATTATGAGATTTTGTATAAAAAGAAGTGAAAACGAAATGAAGGGCATTGTAATTTTCTTTTCACTCAAGGAGAAGAATCGTGCCAAAGAAACCATCGTCGATGAAAAAGGTACGATATTGGTGCAAATATAAATCATGATTTTACATTTATGTTTAAGCCAACAAAACCGTCGCCTCACCAGTTATTTTTTTCTGTCGTATTACTTTTGTTTTTAAGTTTATGGTTAGTGAATGCTTACATTGTTTCTTCACACAACAACTAATTGTAAAATCAGCAATATTTTTATATGTTTTCTCCTCGCTGTTTGCTCCACGCTCGCATCGTGTTTGCCTTTGCTTGCCTGACAGAACCACAGGTCACCCAAGTGAAACATCAGCAGCGGGTTTGTTGTGTAACCTGCCAAATGGTAGAGGGAGAGTTAACCTCACTTAAGTTGTGTGATTCGTCTTTCCTATGTGGTCCCCGAGCCAAATTATGGCCATTTTTTAGTTTTTATCGTAACCGGATTGCTCTCTCTAACAAACCGGTTACCATCCTCCCATAATGATGATTTAATTATTTTTATTTCATTTACAGTGGCATACCTGTGGATTAACTGGTGAAGGTTTCTTTTTTAACTGACCTATTTAGCTAAGAGTATGCGCCACTTAAAGTGAAGCATCTTATCTTATCTCATCTTTTTGTCATGTTAAATTTCAAACAGACGATTCACTTGAGATGCGAGCAAAGCGAGGTTCTCTTCAGCTTGGTGCTATGATCTGGTGTGAAGTTGGCCGAAACCCGCTCGATTATAACCCGTATGGCTGCTGGTGTGGTGTAGGAGGAAAAGGCCAACCTGTAGACGAGATTGACAGGTATTTGAAAGCAGATTAATCCTATCATTCTATTGAAAGTGGGCTGTGTTGTCCTTTCGCTAAGGGCTGTAATGTGATTGGGTTAGTGTAAGTACAGTGTCCTCCCGAAAACTGCAAAAGCATAGGAACTGTAGCATAGCAAATAGTGTTCACTTGTAAGATATGTAGTCCAAGGAGCAGACGATTTGTTATTGGCATAAATTTTCGTTTTCTGTTGAGCTTACCAGTTAACAAATCGACAACAATTTTCATAGTTTGTAATTCTTATCGGCCATAAAAATGACGTCAAAATGTTGAAAATTCTAGTTTCACTGTTCAATATGTTCAAGTTTTGAATATATTGACGTCATTTCTATGGTCGATAAGAGTATAGAGCATGGAAAGTTGAGGTCGATTTGTTTTTTTCAATAATATTTTTCACCTCTATTTCCGTTGAAGTTTCTCGGACAATCGCTCAAAAAAGAGAGAAACAAATAGGCCCCTTCCGAGTTCCATAAACCTTCACTTTCAAAATGAGGCCAAGTGCACAACCTTTCTTGTGAAAATGAGTTTTATTTGCATGAGAATAAAAAATCATTTTCATATCAAAGGCTGAGCACCTAACCTCGTTTTGATACACAGGCCTGGGGGAACCAGGAAATGGCCTATTACTCCACCACCACGTCATTTCTGTAGTCTGTTAGTGCTCTTTTCGACCACAGCTCTCGTCCAATCAGCGCACGAGAAATCGCTCAGTTATTGTAAAACGATTTTCCGGGCGTTAGGATCATAAATGGTTCTCTCAGCAGTCTCAGGAGATGATTTCATTAAAATGACGTACAAATTTTTAATTCTTCGCTTTTCTATTATTTCCTTTAGGTGTTGCTATGTCCATGATAAATGTTATGACGCTGTGGTTGACAGTGGGATATGCGGCTGGTTTAGCGAATATACCGTGTACGCTATACCCTACATAACCCGCGGCTGTAGTGGATGTGGTGAGTATGATATGGTTAAACCATCCAAAAGCAGTCACATGTCTGCGGTATGGCCAGTAACTAAAACTTCTAGAACGTTTTTATTTTTACATTTTACATTTCTAATACGTGCGTCGAATGTGGTAAAGACGTGATGTCTTATTTTGCAAGTAGTTCAAGTAGCCCCGCTTGTTACCCTAGTAACGCATGATTTATTGCAACCCCTGCTTGTTTCCCTTTTAACTCATAGATATACTGCCAGCCACGGCTGTTACCCTACTAACTTATGGATCCCCGGTTGTTACCCTATTAACTCATGGATATATTGCAAGCCCTTGTTGATACCCTATTAACTTATGCATATATTGCGAGCCCCGGGCGGTTATAGTATCCGGTTATGATAAGAGTTTGTTATCTCTTGCAGCGTCCACTGGATGGTTCTCAAACTCAAAATGCCAAAAGACACTTTGTGAATGTGACGGTGCTTTTGCAAGATGCGTGAGAGATCACAACTCCAAATTTCAAAACAGCTACAAAGACTATGATAAATCATCTTGTTAGAGTGCTCATCCGAGCAATTAGAAAGCAAAAAAATATCAAAGCAAGAGAGAAAATGTGTCTTTTATTTCAGTATAGTATATGGACTATGGACTAGTATGGAAAGAAAGAAAAAGGCAATGTAGTTGAATTTTAGAATGAAAAAAATAAGGTAGAAAAGGGTGTAAACATCTGTTAGTACGATTGCTAACGGGCTTTGGGAGAACCCTGCTGCTGTTTTTGTCTCTTATTATAAATATGCACTTCAAGTAAAATTTTCTAGAAACCTTAGGGTTTTGAAATTTCCTTTTCTCATTATTTTAGACTCATGCAGACCTTACTCTGTTTTAAAAGCATTGTACAAATTATCTCCAAATCATCAATTGTTAACCTAACGATGGACTACCTCCTTTTCGAATAAAAATTTCGGTGAGGACACTGCTTAGATAGCTGAGAAACAAAACGGGCCAGGTCACCCGTCCAAGGGTAAGCGACCGGTCCCGAGGGTAGCGGGTCGATTGCGAGTGAGTCGCCTGTTTATTAAATGATCGGTCTGTCCAATGTGGTTCGAGACATCTAATCTAGTTCCGGAGACCAAGGCCTAGGACAAACGTCGAACTTTTCATGAGACGAACCAAACTCTGATTTGTGTCAGACCTAAATTAAGGGGCTGTGTCACGATCATATCACTGATTAAGGTCAATTTTGTACTGAAGTTATTACCTAGGGCTTTTACAATGGTCTTGCGGAGTTATGAAGTTATGAATTTCATCATGGAGAACTAAGCATAATAATTTTTTACGTGATTTTTGCAGGCATAGCATTAAAACTTGAAAAAGCTGGCCCAACTTTTTCAAGTTTATCCTTGCCATCCTTTGCAACAGACAACAGAAAACAGTTTCAATGCCTAATTATAGTCTTGAATAACAAAACTGAACCATCATTCTTGGAATTCAATTAATGCTTAAAAACGTTTGAGCTTGTTAAAAATACAGTAGATAGCGTGTCAGGGTCCCTTTAAGATCGTCTGTTGGGTCAGACGTCGAACTAAGGGCGAGTCGAACCAATCAACTGAATCAAATCAAAAAGCAATTTTAGCTGGCCAGTAATAAATTTTCTCCCAAACGAAGCTAAATATACATTATCATACAGATTTTTAATTATTAAACGATCTGTTTAGTTCGTCGCATGTGAAGATTGACGTTTGTTCCAGAGACGATCTTCAGACGTTCTATCCGTCTGAAGCCAAGACGGATTGAACGTGTTGGACGATCCAAACCCATTCAGACAATCTTAACTGAGCCAGAAGTCGAATTTTGCATGAACTCAACTCGCTAAGTTTGGTTCGTCTCATAAAAAGCCTTGACGTTTGGCTTAGACCTAATAGTCTTTTTACCTCACAAAATTAGTCGAGGTGGACTGCCGTGAAGTGTGCCAAACGCACGCGTGAGGACCGTGAAGGACGCAAATGATCACAGCATGAACGGTCGCCAGAAGTCGGAAAATTTAATCAACGGATAAGAATATCATTTTCGTTTGTTTTCTACCACGTTTTAACTTCGAAGGCCTATTTTGTTCACCGTTTAGTGGAAACATGGGCGAGAACGCAACTAGTTTTCTTGGTCTTTCTTGTCATGTTTTCCGAATTCTTCATATCACTTTGGTAGTATTTGTCTTTCCTCCCTCCAGCTCCGTTGGTTCCTTAGCTATTTTCGGGTGGGAACATTACATGTAAATGATTAACACTTGAGTTTGAATAAAATCTTTTTGTTGTTGTTGCTGTAGTCTTGTGCAATCAATCCCCCAATCGATCAACATACCTTTTCTCTACACAGTGTTCATACATTCCTCAGGTACTACTTGAGAGAATTTTTTCAAATGCTAAGACATTCAGTCATCTTTGGTTATCAATGTTTGATCAGGCAGTGTTATTGTTGGGAGAAATTAGATACTGGTCGCCATTTGGGCCTGCTAAAGAGGTCAAAGAGATGAGGGCCTTTCTTAATCAATCAACTTGCGAATAATGCAAAAGCGAGTTACACAGGCAACATTTTCAACCTGTAGTCTGTCAGCAGGTCCATCTCTTTTTTATTTAGACGTAGTACACTTCGTAAACAAATTTACTTGCAATGGCATTTCGCTTTATTGACCTTGTTTCGTTAGTTAGAAAAAATATTGAATTTCTAGAACTAAAGAAGCGAAACGCAAACACAAAGTTCCTGTCACATAATCTCATTATAATAACAAAGCATTAAACATTGCCCAATCAGCGGGTTAACCTATAGACCTTCTGTACACACTTTCTGAGGTGACAGACAAGTTTGAAATCCTTGCCTTTCTGAGCTGCATTATTATTGTATTATAGTCATTTCGAAAGACGTTCCACTCAAAACTACAAAGAAAACATCAATGCTCGTACTTTGAGAATAAGTCAAAGTTAAGAGGCTGATTCGTGATGCTCCCCATTTTAGTTATCGCGGTTTTAATTCAGGTAAAGCTGTTAAAAGAAATAATGTTTGTCCTAACCTGTTCTCAGCTATAAGATTTCTACATTTACTGTGCTTTATTTTGCTATTAAGAAATCTGTTTTTTGGTAACATTTTTTCGGTTTTCTTTTCTTCAGCGTTTGTTGGCTTCTGGACCTGAAGACTATTACGATAAAGGTAATGATCTAGAAGAATATAGTTGATATGTCATAACTTCCCAAACGCGCACAAGTGTATTATATTTGATATGAACTTTCTGCTACCTATCTATTTGAAATACACGATCATTAGTTGTAGTTGTCGAAGCTGCAGAAAAAAGGAGCAAGGAATTCTCTGGATGTATTATTTATCCTTTTGATAAATAATTGAAAACGCGAAAGTTTGTTCAAGACGAGTCATTTTGACACATACAGTAATTTCGTGACGTTAGGAGATTAAATGAAATGTTAGCTACCTACTAAAGCATAATTTCGTTGACAAGTTTTCCGTGGTAGTGTACATCAAGACTGGTGTTTTTTGCTCTTTTTTAAGAAAAAGCCGACATTTTTTTTCTGTCTTCCTCACCAAGGAAACCGTGGTAGTTTAACTGAGGACGGCTTAATTTGACACCAAATGAGATACGATAAATCAGCGAGTATAATTTATTCAGAGAAAAAAAACCTCATTTTCATTATGTGGTTGCCTGATTGACTAGAGTGTGCGGACGATAAATAAGCTCATGAAGAAGTTAACATATTTGATTGAGATTCTTTTTCTTTCTTTTTATCGGGCAAGTCATTATTTCCGTTCCCTTCTATATAATTTCACTACGTTCCCGCAACAGCTCCACTTATTACCGCGACTTTCTTTACAAAGAGGCAAACTCTTTGCTTTACCGCTTGGCAAATTTCCCCGGAAATTTCATTATCTCATATTGCTCTTTGCTTGGCGACTATAAGTACATTCAGCTGTTCACCTGTGTTAACTAAACTTCTAATTTATATGACTTTTTCTGTTTTCCTAGTAGACAATCTTTCTTACACTCTGCGGCTAAAAATGATTAGTTATTTGGCAATATATGATTTTCCCTCAAAAATCATAAGTTACAGGAAAGTAGACAAAAGAAAATTCTCCCCAACGAAAAACCAGATTCCCTCTTTTTTTTAATGTATAGCCGTCTTTCTCAGTCATAAATATTTTGGTTTTAGGCGCGCAGAATAGATTACAAACTTGAATGCCTCGGTCGGCTTTTTTCATACTTGGGCTTCGGGCCTCGGGTGTGAACGAAATTCTTTTTTTGTCTATTAGCATGGGAACATGCAATCAGTTCCTCCGAAGAGTACATAAATAAAAACATGGAAATGTATATACACTTGAAATGATTGTATTCGACTTTCAAGGAAAACAAAAGCTCAGGTCCAAAAATTAAAGAACGGAAAAGCAGTCATTGATTAAGAGGTGTAAATGGTTAGAAGAGGGGGCACGCTTCAAATTATTGTTCCTTTTCGGTTTACAGCACATAATTAAAAACACTTTTATCAACTGTCTGGGGCTAAAGTTCCTACATAAATATAAACGAAATCTCTTATGGAGTTCTGGGGCTTCTTGGAAATACATTGCCTAATCCTATTTACCCAAAGAGAATAAAATCTTCTTTTGTAAACATAAATTTCCGACTTAATTATGTCGCGTTAATCCGAATATCATCCGTTTCATCCTGTTCAATATTACTGCTACACTGCATATCATATGTCGTTGACACTAGCTGAAGCATACCCCAATTTCTTGTTCACGTTGATGGCCTTTAGGTTCTAAAAAAACCTTCGGGAAGAAAGATTTTCTCGGCGGCCATATTCTTCAGCCATTATTTTGTCATTTTCAATCATAGTCGCTAAATATTTCTACCGCGAAATACAGTTACTACAAGTTACTACAGTGTAGAACATCGAACCTTTGTGCAGCGAAGTGCTTGGTATAACGAATGATGTTCTTCGCCCCAGAAACAGAAATATATATATATATATATATAGAAAAGAACCTTGATATAAAGGAACCTCCCTATAGTACAGGTTAAAGCAAACACAGTTTGCCAGTCTTTGGTCCTTCATTATTGCGAGGTTCCACTGTATTTCTATCTTTTAGAGGCCCAAATCCCTAAACTCTTAAACGGAGCCTTTATTTTGTCACTGTTTTGCTTTCGTTTAAAATTGCCAAAGCGTAAATAAGGAGGTTAACGTTAGATAACATCGAGTGAAGCCAGATGGGACACCTTATGAATTTTACACAACCCATTATTTCCATAATGGAACGAGACTGGAATGTAGAATGAGGCTAGAATAGCTCAAGAAACCAAAACTACAGAGTGCCAGTTATGGAGAGGACACAGTATAGAGTTAAGCACTGATCTGCAGTAATTAGGGTTAAGCACTAAACTGAAAACGGTTAGCTTTCAAATATTGAAATGGGGTACGGCATAAGAACATGTATATTTTAAAAATTGTTGGATTTGGCAGCTACTACTCGATGGTGTAGTGGATATGGATGTAGGCTAAAAAGCAAGTGACCCGGATTCAAAGCATTACAGTGGATTTTTTCTATTTCATTTTATATTACACAGTAAAGTTGGACTTAAGTTGTTCTTCATGTAATTTTACTGAAAGAAACAATCTGACTTCAGCCGATGTTATCTAATGCTAACCAAGTAAGGAAGAGGTTTTTTTTTCAGTCCCTTTAACTCCCCCTTCTAATGATTGCGTAATCATAAACGACTAGTTTCTAGCGACTCCCCGTCTTCGGGTGCAAGTAATGGAAGACGATGACCAATTAATCCCAGTTAAGAAAAAATGTTTTCTTGTTCCAGTGCAAGGGAAGTTGTGAGTGGAATCCTTGTCAAGGACGATGTCTATCAGTGTTAGGATCAGTGTAAATAATAGTCCAGTCAATTTAGGCATTTTCAAGGCTCAAGATCAAACTAATTGCAACAGAATTGTTTTCAACGTCATTTAAGTAAGGGTGGCCTATCTAGCAACATACTAAAAATCCGCCAAAATCCGTTCGACGGAACATGTCAAAATTAAGCGTTAAACATTTTGAACTTTTGACACAGGGCACCCACTTTACTTGAAATTACACGGTTAAACAAAAAATGCACAAAATATGTTTGCTACTTTTATGGAAAAGTGAAAGAAGAAAGAATAACTGCTACCTAGTTTTCGCGGGTAAAAACGAAGTGTTTCTTTTTTCAAAAGGGATAAATATTAGCCACGGTTGGCTTTTGCACAGGAAGCCCATGTTCCACTCAAGGAACCCTAAAACAACAGGAGGCTTTCAGAGTAATAGAGTGAACTGTTGGCTGTAAAACTACGACAAATTTAGTCGTAAGGCTTTAAATCTGAAAAATGAAAGCCGTTACTTAATCATTAGCTTTTAAAAGATATCCTTTTTTTTTATCAGATTTCTGTTAGCCGCTAGGGTAAGAACAATATATATCAGAGCTGGATTTTTGAATAACGTTACAGCCTAAATAGAGTTCTCCCCTCAAACAGTTTTTCTCTTTCAACAACTATCTCCAAAGAAGTCAACATAAAAACTAAGAGGGCAGCCATTGTTCTTTCTTCTCCTCGTTTCTTTCTCCTCGCTCTTTGTATTTTTCCTTTCCTTGTTCTTTTATAGGAGGATTTTTGGGCTCATTTTCCCTTCTGCTTTTGGTCTTTTTCTCAGTGAAAAGACTGCAATTTTCGTTCGGTACGTTTTTAAAAATCCAGCAAGATAATACTTTGGCTTTTACGGTTATTAACTATACATCAATGTTTGTTAACGTACCAACATCCTCAAATATACAAGTTTCACTTTTTCGAAACTTTTCATTTTCTTCTTGTTAAAAGTGAATTGGAGAGGAGAGGAGGATAGTCTTACTAATTCTTTACGACGCACAACAATGCAGAGTTTTTGAACAGGTTAAGCTCCAGTGCCTATGAATTTGATGAGAGGGAAATGCCTTTTCATTAAAGGAAAAGTGTTGTTACCTTCACAAAGATTAACGGAACATTCATCCCATAAGAACTTTGGTCCTAGCAAACGAGCGTTTCAAGAAAACGAAACAGTATAATAGAGAGGCTGGTTTTTAAGGGAAAGATTAACTCTGGGTAGCCAAAACAATGCGTATAAAATATAATTCCCCACGGAGAGCATAATTCACGTAACTCAGTCAGAAGGTTAACTTGCAGTAAGTTGAAGTGTTACACAACTCTCATCCGAAGAGAAACATGGGTTCCGCAAAAAGAGGTGACACATCAGAAGCTAAGTCAGGCAAGCCCATTATTAATGTCGTAAATATGTTCAGTACTTTCGCGCCTTCATTGACCAGTGCAATTATATTTTCAAATGTTTAGGATCCCATGATTGTTATAGAAAAAAGAGGTCTTCATTTGCCAAAGGACGAAAAAAAAGACTGGTCGAGGTTCAGGGTTGTTCTCACAAAAGAAATGCAAGGAGGGAATATAAATGCCTTTAGACCACAAGCAATTAATCTTATTCATCTTACCAAGAAATGAAGAGCTGCCGCAGAAAATACAAATTAAACACACAGATACACTAAACTAAATCTGATCCTCGCTGCAAAAAGAAGATAAATAAAGAACAATCACACTACGTTGGTTTTCTGGATTTCCTTTAGACATTCGGCCAGGTGTAATGAAAAGCGCACAGCGTTATGATCTAGCAAAAACCAAATAGACAGAGTCCATTTACATTGTAAAGTACGGAGTCATAATCCTAAAGGAGGTTGCGCATGTCGTGCGAAAAAAAAAAGAATCCCTGATTTCGATCACACATATTGTGTCCAAGGCTTGAACATAACTACCTCACAAAACTCGATTACAGAAAATGGGAATAGGTTAAACAGTTTGTACTGATACAAAGCTGTCGTCCGTTGCACACATTTAGTTCCACGTATCCTGCAGCATGGATGCAAAATTAGTAGCTGCCTGAAGGTGAACAAAATATCAAATCAAACTGTTCACCATCAGTCAGCTACTAAATTTGATTCCATGCTGCAGGATTTAAAAAAATTACAAGCCTGTAAAACTAAAAAAACTTTCTGCATTTCTGATATTGCGCAAAAAAATAAAATTGCTAATATTTTTAATCATGTCAATACAGACTGACTAATAATTTCCTTTTTAAATGCCGTCATACAAAAAAAATTACAACTTGGAAAACAGAAGGTGAAGACAAACGAGTGGCTGGGTAACCTGTGCAACGCCGTCAAGACGAAACACTGACCCAGGTGTTTCTCACACATTTAGTCGGCGTTTTTAAACCAAAACTAGAAAAGGAAGAAAAAGACAATTATCAAATGTTTTGTCTGAATTTGTGATCTTCCTGAAATTGGGTGTCCTGTGGTGAAAGTTGAAAATCTTTATTGCCAATTTTTCTCCTGTTTCACCGAACCAATTTTGGCGGATTTTTAGTATGTTGTTACAAAGCTATTCAACAATTAAATGGCGTTGAAAAAAATTCCGTTGCAATTAGTTTGATGCTAAACCACAATTTGACTGGACTATAACTCACCCAGGACACTTACCAACAAAACGCACAGAGACAAGTGGTTGATGGGAGGTCTAGTAATACCTGCTTCCCGTAATAGATTTGAATACACGTGCGCGCTTGTCAAGGAAATTTAGATATATCTTTACAAGCCTTTACAAGACACAACGACGTCTAGAAATATTGCATTAGCTAAATTTTGTGATAGAAAACTTGCCAAGGGCACTTATTTAGGAAATTTTGTTAGTGTAAAGGGGGACATATTGCACGAGCATTAACATTGCATGAAAAATCATGACGGTTTTTTTTCAAAAGCCCTACTACAAGAACAAAAGTCTCACCCGGCGACTTCAAGTTCTTTGAATTTTTTTTTTTTTTGAAGGGCAAAATGCATAAACACATAAACACATTAAGAGTGCTGACTAGGGAACATGCTGAATAGAGATTCATTTGTAGTCAAATTTTTATTCATTTTCTCACTCATACTTTAGATTTTTGTATTGGTAAAACTGATGGCTTGCACGCTGACTCAGAGGACTGCAGAGCGTATTATGACTGCGTTAAAAACAGGGCACGCCATCGCACTAGTTTGTCAACGGGAACCATGTTTGATCCACAAACAAAGACTTTCGGACGTTCCGAGGATGTAAACTGCACAGTGCAGAGAGGTAAAGCTCATGTAATGGCATGGATGGCTTTCATCCAACGGCCATGACGGAATAACGGTATACACTTACGCAGTGAAAGGCCATGGAGCTAAGACCAAATAGCAAACCATTTATCATTATTTTCACTTTTAATAACACTTTCCTATACCTTGTAATCCCTATCAGTGGTCCTGCAGCATCTAACTTCTCGTTGTAATAAACGACATTTTAAGCCCTGGTACCAGAGGTTTTACTTAATTTTTCAGACTCTGTGTGAAAGAGACAGAGTCGCCCAAAGCGGCGAAAACGAGTCGCTTCGCCTGGGTCGTTCTCTGACACAGAGAAAAAATTTTCAAGAAAAACCCCTGGGACCAGGGTAATGACATTTATGTTGTGTAAACACCTTACAAAGGCAGTTAAGTAAAGAAAGTGAAGAGAATCAGACTCGAGCACGGTTTAATTCCTTGACCAACCAGGACAGCAACTTAGCTTTGAAGCAGAGCTTGAAAAAAAGTCCCGTGCGGTAACCGGGACAAGTAGGTTTTCTTACTTGGCAAGTAACCGTCAAAGCTTACTTCACAATGGAAAAGGGTCCATCCAATTCATCCTCTAACAAAGTCATTAACTAAGATGGGAAGAGGTCGCCCTTACAAAAATGAGAGAACTCCTTGTCCATGGGACAAGCTGAAATTCAAGTTTTTTTCGCGTTCTGTTTCGAGGTGGCTGACTAAAGGCGCTGGTAATCATATGAGTTTGTACTGAATATTCCCTACGGTAAGAAGGCGACTAGCTCCTATTTTGGTTTATGTTTCTGTTGTTTATGAAGAATACAATATCGCACACTGTGGTCTTTAAATAAATTCTTTGTAAGGCTGAAATTATTTTCAAACAGCCTTTTTTTTGACAACTTCATTTCAGGCTGAAATGTTTTCTCTTTAATTTCTTTTCACAGTTTATCGTGAACTATGGACTGGTGTACCTGGGGCTGAAGTAGCTGATCTAGAGTCCAGTCCTTCATATCCATGTGCTCCACATAGGGCGGAGTTTATAGACACATTTTGCATTTACAAGTTAGACATTGGGAATAGTTTTGGTCAGCGATTAAGGTCGTTCTTTAGAGCTCCTGAGACAGGGAATTATATTTTCCAGACGTCTTGCGATAACACCTGTCAGCTATGGATGAGTGATAATGAACTTCCCTCCAGAAAGCGGCTCATTGTTGACCAGAAACATTATACGTCAGTATACAGCTTTGACTTGTAAGTCGCACAATACGAAACTACAGGGGCGGATCAAGGGGGAGGGTGCAGGGGGTGCTCACCCCTCCCCCCCTGAGATGACCTGCAGCTTTCTAATACAACTGGTACTTGCAAAACATGCAGATATGTATTCTCAACAGTTCACATTATGTTATTGCCTGGTCAAAAGCCTTCTTCCTCGTATTCGCTGTTAAAATTTGTTTACGTCACAAGTCAGTTACTTCATTTCTTTGTGGTGCACCCCCCCCCACCCCCCTAAGAAAAATCCTGGATCCACCCCAGTACTGGTAGTCATGGTTAATATCTCAGAGAAAGATTTAGCAAGTGCAGGATTCCGGCCATGTATTCACACATATCTTCATCTTCTACGGTGATGTACTTACAAAATGAACAGCTCCCAGTTGGCGTAATATCTTATCGCAGATCGTAGGTTCAAACTGTATTGACATGTCGCTACGATCCTTCACGTGGTAAAACTAGAATTCGTTCCGGGCCGTTTTTTTATAATGACAAATATATAACTGCAGAAGTAAAACAAAGTATACTGTTATTTTGGTAGGAATGCCCAGATACAAATTAACCCAGTTTATTTTCTTTTAGCGGCCATTGCTAGTGTAGGTTAGTGTAGCATTTTTAGTCTTGGTTAGTGTACTGCAGCGAAGTGACGTTAGGCTAATGCTTTTTATTTTTTGTTTACAGAAGACTTGATCAATCTTCAGAGAAGGTAAATCTCACTAAAGGTAACCTGTACTACATGGAACTTCTACACAAGGAGAATACGCTCATTGATTTCATGTGTGTTGGCGCCATGTTTCCTACTCTATCGAGAGAGCGGCCCATTTCGTCGAGGCATCTTGTCATGGAATCAACTGGTACGATAAAAGATTGTATTATAGATGGCTAGTTACGTCTGCCGACTACTGTGGTCTCAGTTATTTGAAAGGGTATTATGGCGAGACTCAGTTGAGGGAACGAACGAGTATAAAAATAATCTTCGTTAGCCTGCTAATACAGCCGTCTCTCCTCGCTCTTCGCCACTTGGGACTTAAAAAAGAGGAGCAACGAGAGACGGTTGTATTCACGGGCTTCATCCGCTTGCTTGCAATATGCTCGACAATCCTGAATTAAAAGAGTGAAGTATGAGGCTTTTTGACACGAAACTTCAAAAGCCGCAACTGAAAATAAGATCAAGTAGGTAATTAATTATATTAATGAAACTTCAATAAGTTAAAAACTATATCAATTCAAAAAAGGCATCTATTTATCAAGCATTGTTTGGAATCTCCCAGTATTCAATCGAGGCAAATATACCTGTGGCCACGTAGTATCAATTCTCTTTGCTTCGTCGGGGGCAAAAACTCGTGCTGTGGGCTTTTAACTTTAGAACAAACTTTATTCTATAGATGTAACTGTAACTGTACGTTGGATAGATGCGGGCGACACATTCCTCATCTGTATTCCCTTGCATTCCAGTGTAAACACGTGGTGTCTGTTTTTCTCAACATTGTTCTTAAAATGAGTACAGGTCGAAAGAGATACTTTTGTGAGATCTTGAATTTTTGGGCAAAACAGCCAAAATAGGAAATGTGCACCTTACGTCACCCGCAATTAAGATCAGTCAAGTTACGTTTACTCGTCACCTGGTTGAAAAACTTGACCGGACACTTCGCCCACGTGGGGCCGTCTAATATTTTTGCCGACAAGCCAATTTGAATTGAAACTCTTTTATAAATAGTTATTGAGTCACACCACGCTGATCAACTTTTCGACCGTACCGTTTAAAAATTCGACCTCGAGTTCGACGTTAAAATGTTTCAACGTCTTCGCCTTCTTAATCTCCCTACGGTTGGTGGGGTGGGTTTCTTGAACTCACACGGAATTGAGTTCCTTTTATACTAGTTCCTGACATTATCGTTTGAGTTACCAAGCTTCTTGTTTTATATGAATATTTCTAAAAATTTTAATTAGTTACGTTGCAAAGCGACTGGAATTTCGCGATGCGATGCAGTCTTGTTCTTAGAGTGTTTGCATAGGTTGCGGATCTCGCTGTCCTTTCAGATCAAGTACCATGAATTTGATTGAAACAAATTTAAGATCGTGAAACTTTCCCCCTCTTATTTCTTAACAGAGCTTGGTCTTATTGGTTGCACGGGAAATGGAAGTTCATTAGAATTTGCCACGTGTACCGCACAGAATTGTAAGAGTCCTCAGCAGAAGGTACTTATAACCCTTAATTAGGAAGCCACTACCATGGCAACGGTTATGATATTTGCTACTCCCTACTGAAGAGTTTTAAAACTTAAGAGTTGAATTTCTCCTGCCAAAACTTATCTATTATGCAAGGAGACAGGCAAGAAAAAACTTCGTCAGGGCTCCCCTCTCTTCAAACAAATTGTAATTTGTTATTTGTGAAATCATTTTTTATGACGAACCTCTCTGATAAAACGAGAGTAATACACAAAAAACATTGGGAAGAAGAACAGTAGATAGAGAAAAGTGCTAAAATTTCATGGGAGAAAAGTGTGGAAAGAAACAACGAGAAGGAGAGAAAGAAAGAAAATGGAATGTTCATTCAAGGAAAGGTGAAAGAGAGAGAGGGAGAGAGATGATCACGGTGATAGTGTTAACACAACATTATTGTGTTTTTAGCTTGAGTCATTCAAGAGAGCGATGGATGAACAAATCAAATCCTTAAAATCTCTTCAATCGGGTGAATCATCTTCTTCTCAGCGACACATTAGTCAAGTCACCAAGGTAAGTCGGAGTAAAAGCAAACGGGTCATTTCCAAGGAGCTCCTATACCCTGTTTTTCAAAACAGGGGTAATTGGGCGATAGCTGATTAGAAGATATTTTTATTCTTCTTCAACTGAAACTTATTTTCTCACGTGAGAGGTTTCACAGTCGGCCACATTTTTAAACTGAGGGTTTCTTGAGAAAGGAAATGGCCTATTAAGCTAGCTGTTATGGTATCACGAAACTTAGCCATAATCCACTTTGACAGACAAATCTTTACTTCCTTCAATAATAATAATGATAATAATAATAATGATAATAATAATAATAATTATCATCATCATCATCACCGCTAATTTCACCTGTAAAACTTTGTAACTTCCTTCATCATGTCCCCCCTTATTCTCTTGCAAAGTGAACTAGCGTATGTAACTCTTGAAACACATATTTTCCAGCTACTATATTCACTGTTTTACTTTTTAGTTTAGCTTTTGCATCGTACACTATTTTATATTATCTTTTTGTTATGATAAATTCATCGATAAAACTCTGTCTTATCAGATAATATCTTACACACTGCGTCAATTAAATAAATTATAAAATAGTTATGCATATCTGTTAGTTGGGCTTAAACAACTGATGTTACTACCTTTGCACAAATATCCAGGAAAGTGGTAAAATCATAAACGGTATGGTGGAAGACCCAGAGAGAGGTGGTTGGCAAAACTCAACATTAGCAATCCAGATAGCCAGAGTGACTGAGTCGTTTGGAAGAGAATTGGCTCATATATGGTCCAATGAATCATCTAGCGTCACCCTACTGGAGAGCAGTATTGGTAAGCTGCCATCAGATATTAGAGAGAGTGATTATATTGTCCCCGTAGCGCTTAAAATTTTTAAAATTGCTACCAATCTTTTAATATACTTATAATCTACTCAAACGAAAAAATATAATCGTTTAATGCTAAACGGCGTCGACAACGAGAACGGCAAAAACAAATCAAAAGGTCTAATTTGCAGAAAAAACAACTTTGCACTTGCAGCACACTTTCTTTGTACATTTCTTTGACGTTGTTTTGCACAACTACAACGTGAAACTTCCTAGTTACACATCTTATGTAGGAAATATCGTATGTGCTCACCAAAAGTTTTGTTGCTTGTGTCCCTGTTCGGTCTTTCTTTTTTTTCACTGCCGCTCATTTTCACTTTGCTGACCACTACCATTTCTCATTTTCACACCACCAATTTTCTTGTTTTTCTTCCAACAAAATTGTTCTCCTTTGTTTTTTATCTAACGCTTTAGCTCTTTCTCTGTCATCCACGTCAGTAAAGACTTTAAAATTAAGTCGGACTTGATATTGTTGTTGTTTTTCTCTCTCTAACGTCCGGGTGACCATGCGATTTCCCGCCAAAAACCCCCGTGTTGCATTTGGGTTACCATACCTGTTGATTGAGTTATTTTACGCTGGTATGCCTGTGGTGCGGATGGGCGTGCGTACGGTCACGCGATTAACAAAAATTCTTGGGTGCATACCAAATTTTCTTACCCATGGTGCTCCGCTGAAAGCGCTTCTCTCTCAACGTATATTACTTAACTTATCAGGAATCTTGCGTATTCGGAAACCTGAAGCGAGGGTGTGATCAGTCTCATTAGAGACCTTTAGATTCTAGGATGAGGACGACTACAAGTACAAAATTTTCTAAATACTAACGCTCACGCGTGAACTAGCGTTATTTTGGCGGAAAAACGTGATAGCTGTCGTCATTCTACGAGTTTTAGCGAGAATGTCAAAGTGGCGAAAACAGGTTATTAAATGTTGAAAGTTTTATAATTTTGGAGAAGGCTTAACCTCTTTCAATAAAAATAACAGTGCTAACTTTTCTGGTGAATAAAAAGTACAATGAAGCTTTCCGGAGTGTCTCTTTTTTTTTAAGAAGACGCAAAAAAAACCTCAGGTTAAATCCTGTCCTCGTCTTCAATTCTAAAGGTCTCCAATAAAACTTCATCTCTTTACATTTTAGCTTTGCAGGCATCTGTGCTTGTTGACGACTACAAATTCTCAGCACCAAGATCGAGAAAAGTCTGGCAAGGGATTGACGACTTCTTGAGCTTAAGAATAACAGGTAAAAAACACACGCTTTCTTTACCACTCCGGTGGCTGGTTGAGTTGGTTTGCCCTTGCCATGGAAGTAATTCTCCTGTTTTACAAGTGGTATTGGTAAAAAGAAAAGGTTTTTCAAGAAGTATGCCACAGGCCCTCGCTGATAAGCATTTAAATTGATGTTTCGCATATTTGTTGAAAGGTCACACTAGCTTTCGCTTTGTTTGTTCGTGGATTTCGCAAGGCCCAAATTGCTTACTTCCCGCAGGGGGTTACTCCGGATTTCAAGTGACGGGGATAATCGAGTGGGGGCAAAAATCAAAACCCTGAAAAAAGCCCTAGGGTTTCCAACAAAACCCCCCCAAAATTCCTGGACCTTGATTTAACCCTCAAAATACCCTATGCTGAATTTCCGAGCCTTAAAAATTTCCAGAAAACGAAATAAGTTTGTTTGTGCTTTATTCGCAGAACTAAGCGGCCAAGATATGCGGGCACTATCCTCGGACACTACTGCGAATTTAAAAATTTCAAACCCAAACAAATCCTCCACTTAAAATCTCCTCCACTTAAAATCCGGAATACGTCTCCCCCCCTCCTGTCAGGGCTTACTTCCTTGCTTTGGAAGCGCCTGTGATTGGTTTATTTTGTAACCTCTTGTTTCAGCAGACGTTCGTTGGGGGAGGCTTTCGCAGCGGGCCAAAAGAACGTCTGTATGTGAGGCCTTGTTTCAAAGGTTTTCGTCCTAGAGGGAGTTTGCTCAATTTTCGAAATGGTATAATACTGCCCGAGGGTAAAAACGTTGCGCTAAAATTTGTTGTCGTGTAAAACAGGCGCACGGAAGATATTCTGCGCAATTATTGCGTTAGAAGGTTTATAAGCTAGTTTCAGCAAAAAAGTTTTTTCTTTCGGTTCTTTGAGTAGTCTTGTTCTAATGGCTCGTTTATCTTAATAATTTTTTGTATACCTATTTATTGATTTATTCAAATGGAATTCGCACTGTGTTATTCCTTGCAATTTACCGTAGAGAAGGAAAGTGCATTTGCATTGGTTCTACGAGTCAGATGTAGTAACCTTAATGTTCTCAAAAACAGGAACACCAAAGAAAACAAAGGCATTTAGCGTCATCTACAAACGTTTACATGAAATGATACCATCAACAGTGAAGGAAGTGTCAAAGTAAGTATATAACCCTCAGTTGTTCAGCGTTTTTGCTACATATCGAGAATGCCTGCTTTAAAATTTGAAGAATTGAGTCTTCAGTTTTAGGTACCTAATAATGCCACTGGCGAAAAAATGATATATTTTGTAATTTTTTGTTATTGGTATTTGCAAGTTTAAATTGATGTGTGTAGTGGTCTTATCATTTTTGAACGGAGCATGTGTGACACAGTGGAATGAAGACGTAGTACTTCTGAATCGTGATGACTTGAGAGCAAAGTATGACATTTAGCAAAGCTCGGAATATTTTTCTCACTGAAATAACCAGAGAAGGGTTTTTCAAACGTCACCTTACTATCTTTACTGTAGCTCATTATCAAACCATTTTTTATTCCCTTATGCTCAGAGAAAATGAAAAGGAAAGGGGACTTTACCACCTTAATAGTCGTATTATTGGTAGTCTAATCACTGCATCAGGAAAGAACCAGAAGCTTGATGTTGAGATCAATCTTCAACACATTAAGGTAAACCTGAAGTGAACACCACAGCTAACAACTGAGTAGCTTGTTACTCTACGGATATGGCATGAAAATGCTTGAAGATTTATGCTGCTCATAATGACTTGGAGCAGAGTTGCTCGTCAGGCTGGTCTAAACAGTTTAAACTAACACTAGCCCAATTCTACCGCCGCCCGGTTAGCTCAGTCGAAAGAGCGCCGGTCTGCGGAGCGGAGGACGCGGGCTCGGAACCAAGCCGGTACACACCCCATCTTTTAATACGCTATTGGAGAAGATAAATAATATAATGTATTTTTAAATACAGTATATTAATTACATTAATTATATTAATGTATTATTATTGTATTATTATTGTCTATTTAAAAATAGACAAGTAAATAGATAACAAAGAATCACAGGATAATATCAGAAGCAATGCAGCATAAGCCGTGCGAGTAGTACAAATTCTTATAACATCTCTGCTCTTTGTGCATGATCAAACCAGCAGTTTCTGGTGGGTGTCCCCAAGAGCTATGGCTCTTGGTGTCTCTTTATAACATAGTAGGATGGTTGTTTGTGAATGCCAGAACAGTTTAAATTGGTATTAAGCAACATTTTAATGGTTTAATGTTTGCAGCACGAATCAAATAGCACTCTTGTTCCTGTATGCGCCTGGTGGGATTTCACAGCCGGGTAGGTAGGCTTGAGACGAAAACAGAAGGACATCTCAGTATTGCGTATGGTGGTGTTACATTTAGATTCGACTACCGTCTAAATGAGTTACCAGATACCATCGGATAAATCTCTGTCCACTGGATAGCGTAATTGTTTCCCCTACTGTTTATTCAAAGGACAGTGACTTATACAGTAAATTGAGCTATTCTCCTTTTAAATAACAAGACCTTGGAGTCCTTCCACGTCCCGATAATTCAAGAGCTTGGAAAGCTGTTGTTGCAGATAACATGACTCAAAACTAAAACTGAAAAAGTAAAACTGGACGGGTTTGTTAGCTAGGAACGGGCTTTTTTTCATTAGATTCTGATTTGATTATTTCGGGCAGCAAACTTTACCGGTGCTTTCGAGAAACAGGTCTCAGGTGTGAGAAATAGACATAATGCTCTCAAGAAAAATAGAAAATGATTTTGAGAGCATGCCCCACGTCAGGCACCAGGAAACTTGAGCTAACTAAGAACTATTTTTCTTCCTATTTATTTAGGGGTGGAAATGAAAGTGGCTTGTGGTCGACAAGAGGATGTAAATTGGATGACTCTGCCTCAAATGGAACTCATTCCGTCTGCAGATGCAATCATCTCACTAATTTTGCCATACTTATGAAAGTCAAATCAGATACAACAGAGGTAAAAGACGTGACTTTTCACATAATCAAACCGCACATACTTGAACCTTCTGTAATCCAACACACAAAATCTTATGAGTGCGAAACAACGAAAGGAGATGCTAGAGCGAGGGGCGGGGAAAGAAAGGCTTTCCCTTGCCCACCCCCCTGGCTTTGCCAATTGCTTGGGCGTTCTCTCGCGACTTTCTTCTCTCGTCTCTCGAAATGCTACGTTTGCTCGCAGGCCGCAACTTTTACTGTTTGTTTCCCGGAAGGTGTGGGGATCTTAAAAACGTCCAATATAATAAAGCAAGTATAAAAATCCCTTCCTCTAAAATCACTTGAATACCCGCTTAGCAAAGAGGAAACGTGCTTCAGATTGTCCAATATTCCTCGTCATTAAGTATACCTACGTATTACCCACCCTCTGGACATTTCCATCTTATTCACCTCTATTTTCCTACTTTAACGCTCCCTAGCCATGGAATCAAATAAGGCAGTAGCAAGCGAGAAAATGTAATAGAGGAAGTACTCGAGATGCCATAAGAATCCTGGCTATAGGATCACACAGGTCGGGTGGTTAGCAAGGAGCGTAATTTAAAGTAATTCGTGTTACTAATATCATTGGTGACAAATAACTCCTCAATTTTGGCGCGAAATCTCAGCATTAATTTATAATTTCACATGTGAAATTAAAATTGCCATGGCAACGTTCCCTACTTCTCAGTGCCAAGATGGCGTCAAGTTTTAAGATATTATGAATGAAGAAGTCAGGGCTTTAAAAGACGCTTTAGAAAACCTGAACACTCGAACGAGCACATCAAGAATGAGTTTAATCCAAAATTTATCATCTAAACTTTTCAGTGCGTGGAGTTCTTTCTCGATGCGATAAAAAAGTAAAAAAAAAACCTTTTGTCACCCGTGATATTAGTAACAAATGGGAAACTCGTGAAATTAGGGAGTGATTTAGCGCGGGTGAAATTATTCCCTGATTTTACTCGTCACCATTTGATTACGGTGTTCAACCTGATTTGAAGGTATCCTTTTTAAGTCACGACCATTTAATTGCAAATACCTATTAACTGGCATTAATTTTCTTATAGCCATCTGAAGCGCATGCTCAAGCGTTAGAGATAATCACTTATGTGGGCTGTGGATTGTCCCTCATCGGCGTGACATTGACTGTCACCATAATTTCGTGTTTGTCGTAAGTAACGTTTGTCCGAATTATTTTCTTTAATTTTTCTTCTTTAAAGAACAAAGATCGCTTCACAGACCGTATATTTCTAGAAAGCATAAGAAAACAAACTATCAGTTAAGCCTTGACGTATTTAAAGCAAAACGTTTGAAAATCAGCTCAAAGTGTCGTGTAGTCGTTGTCCTTGTTTAAGCAAAATGATTGAAAATGAGGCACCCAATGTGAAACAGGAATTAAATTGGAAATGCAAAATACTATTGACGCTACAGGTAACCTGAAGGATTAAGCATTCATAACTTGCTAAAAAGTGCATTTGACAATGATGATTTAAGGCCAGACGACCTTGATCTTTGTTTTTATTTGAATTATGTAGTGGACTGCGCTCGGAAAGGAACTTGATTCACCTTAACTTGTCGCTGGCTATTGGAATCTTCCAAATCGTTTTCCTCGCAGGAATTGAAGCAACGAGCAAGAAGGTTTGTTCACTGAATTCTTCTCTGTGAAAGGTTTGAACCCAGCAGTCATTTCAAAAGTAGGTTGAGTTTGATCGTCCGGGTGAACGTAGTCCTGAATAGGACTGTTGTTGTTGACAGTGACTGACGTTTCGACAATCTGTGCGGTAGTCATCTTCAGAGTCAAAGTGAGTTGTATCACGTCAGTTGATGGTATTATACTCTGGTTATTGATCTGACTGGTCAATTACGTCGCGATGTTATTGGTCGCCTGTCAGTTAAGCCGTGATGTTATTGGCTATGAAGACTCGTAATCAGTAATTGGTGCGTTTCGATCCGTCTATTGTCACGTGATACAACTCATTTTGACTCTAAAGATGACTACTGCACAGGTTGTCGAAACGTCAGTAACTGTCAACAACAACAGTCCTATTCAGGATTACGTTCACCCGGACGATCAAACTCAACCTACTTTTGAATTCTTCTCTGTTTTAGAACTGAAAATTTACTTGTCGAGAGATTATTATTTTAAGAACGTGAATTCTTACCACAAAAATGGCCCGTGCTTCATGATACTTACTCTCACTATTTTGTATTTCATTTCAGGTGATATGTACAATTGTGGCCGTATTACTTCATTATTTCCTGCTAGTGTCATTTGCATGGATGCTAGTTGAAGGCGTTTACCTCTACATCATGGTCATTACCGTGTTTGAAAGTAGCAAAGAGCATCTGCGTATTTATGGGACATGCGCCTACGGTAAGGCATTTCAATTCTCGGGACCAGGCTAATCAATGTAAAATTTCAGAGGTCAGTGGTAGGGTTTCACACGTCGGTAGGTAGTTCATATATGATTGTTGTAGTGTACCGTATACAGTAAACACCAGCTAAGAACTTTTTTTGAAGTCTGGCAAAATAGGTTCTTTGGGATACTTATTTAGAATTTTGGCAAAGTATGTTCTTAATTAGGTTCTTGATTTGTATTTAGGAGATAATAGATTGTTGATTACCAAAAAAGTGAATAAACTTTGTGTTTCTTCACAACCGTATTATTATAACTCTAACAAAACTGATTACTGGATTTATGTACAGTTTAGTAGAGTATTTTCCTGGTATACTTAAGTTAACATCTCAAAGTTACACTCTTTGGTTAAATTGTTTATCATAATTTAACTGCAACCCACATATAAGAACCTGCTTGATCTTGCTTGGCTAAACAGGTTCTTATAAGTTTTGGGTACTAAAAAGGGAAATTTATGCCAAGAGGCTCTTAATCCACAGATTCTCCCATAAGGTTCTTTACTTGCTTGAGATGCTTTATTCACCTTGCATAAGGTACTTTAGTTTCTTAAGCTCCTTTGCGTACTTGCAGCGATGTTTTCCTTACTTGAGGTGCTTTACTTGCTTAAGATTGAGGTATTGTGTCTGTCTCTCCTCAAGTTACTTTTCCTTTGCGAAGAAAGAGACCAGCCCTTCAATTATCCACAATTTTTTGATTAGGGCAAAAAACAAGTGTTGTTGGTATTGATCTAAACAGTGAAGAAATTTCTCATTTGGATATTGATTATGATTTTGGTATAATTTGCCAGGTTTGCCTGGAGTCATTGTTCTTATTTCTGCTATTGCGGCGCATGACGGATACGGTACAGATATGAGGTAGGGTTAACATACTGCTATTGGTAACGTTTTGTTCTAAGCCTGATTCATGACTCAAAACCCATCAACTTGAACATCCTTGAACTGAATGTAGGAAGGAATGGGAAAGTTTGCAAGTTTGCATGAGTGGCAGTAATCTTGGAAAATGAGGAAAAAATATAGTACTGGTGTAAATCAGCCTCTCGAACCTTTTGTTCAAATTTGTATGCTACGGCTACGCTTTAGAATTTGTTTAAGAGACTAAGTCAAAGGGATTTTGTTCCGTGCAGGTCACCCCTTGTCATTATTGCCCGGGGAATAGGTTGGCATTTTCAAAATCACCTGAAGGGCGACCGATATATGAATTGAAATGGATGGTGCCCCTTGTGATCTTAATCATCAACCTCTGGTTAAATGATGATTGTATCTTTGTGTCTACATGAATGGAATATTTTCTTTACTCTAATGTTTTAGCTGCTGGTTATCTGTGGTAGATGGAGTAATTTACGCATTCGTGGCACCTGCATTAGTAATAATACTGGTAAGTGAGAAGAAATATTTGTCGGGGAGCAAGTGGTGCAGTGGTGAGAGCAATCGCCTCCCGCCAATGTGGCCCGAGTTCAAATCCCAGCGTCGATGCCATGTGGGTTGAGTTTGTTGTTGGTTCTCTCTCTTGCTCCGAGAAGTTTCTCTCCAGGTACTCCGGTTTTCCCCTCTCCCCAAACACCAACACTTCCAAATTCCAATTCGATCTGGAACGCACGGACATTTTTCAACGAGTTCGTAAGAACTCCTTAGTGCCTCGTGGGTAAACAAATTACAATTACAATTCTGTCAAAAATATTTAAGCCGTCCAGATATAATTTTGACCATTTTTTGACGTGCAGTTTATGTGAGATTTCAGCTGCTCCAGAGGCTCCTTCATCAACCAGATCAAACTACTGTTATTCTTTAGACTATAAGGTGATTTAATTGTACTTGCTTCTGCTTGCAGGTCAATACGGTAATCCTCGGACTGGTAATAAGGGAGATTATTAAGATACAGACAAACGGAATTTCCAGTTCATCCAAGTTTGATCTTGTCAAGTGAGTATTAATATGGTTCTTTAAACCCATCACTCCTTCTTGAACAGGGATGGTTATGTGAAATCTTTCTTTGGATTACTAATCAACAACATGATGTTGAGCGATATTGAGACCATGTTGATTTTGGTGTCTTTTGTTCTCCGCAGATCTAGTATCAAATCGGCTGTTGTTTTATTTCCGTTACTGGGTGTTACGTGGCTGTTTGGAATCCTCGCACTGGACAGAAAAACAATTGCATTTCAGTACCTTTTTGCTATTTTCAATTCATTACAAGGATTCTTCATTTTCATATTTCACTGCTTACTTAACTCAGAGGTGAGGAGTGTAGGATATTCGGTTTCTCGTTTCTCAGAAATGGTCTGGCGATCACACAAGAGCCCCAAATTACTTTTCCATGAGAAGTAGGAAAATCTCCGCAGTTGGAGTTTATGCATGGAAATAAGGGGCATTAATTTTTACGTTCGGTGTCTAATAGATCGTTTTCACTGTCACGCAACAAAAAAATAAATTGGAAACCGTTCAGTGGAAGAAGCCAAGAAAATGAAATGTTATAAAATAAATTCCAAAGCTTTCACGACTCCATTTTCTCGCAATTCCCAGAAGAGACTTGAGCACAAAGAGAACCACACCAAATATAGAAATATGACCGGAAAGCCTCGGATTCATGTTAGAATCTTAATATATCGAACGTGGGCTAAGAACCGAAAAAACTGTTGAAAGGAGCCGCACAGGATTAAGAAAGGGTTCCCACGATTACCGGAAATGAGGTTGAGAAGTGCTGTTTTGATTATTATGTCTTTTTTATGAGAGAATATTGATAATACAGGTTAACACACACGGTAATAAAAACTGTCTAGTCATAGAAACTGCTTACTGATGCCGTCTAAATTGTAAGTTACTAGTGTTGATATTTAATTTCTTGATTCTTTGGCTGTATTTTAGATCCGTAAAGTGATACAACGAAAGAGAGAAATCTGGTCAAGTCGTCGAACGACTCTATTCTCACCTTCATCGTTACCGACCACATCAACAGCTGGCATTTTATCGTCTAAAGGAGCTACACTTTCGGTAACTGTGACTTTCTTTAGGAGTCTTTGTGACAGCACCAAATCTATTGAAATCGCAGATAAACCCCCCGGAATATTGGTATTGAATTATAAGCTTTTCGTTTATATCGTCATTGGCTATTAATCCTCTATACATAACAGCAACAACAACAAAAAACAAGAAAGCAAAAAAAAAAAAAAGAAAACAGAAAATACAAAACTGGACAAAACAACAAAACTCACAATACAACGAAGGCATTTGGAAGAAACATGAATCTTGATACTGATTTATTAAGTAGGCCTTTATGGCATAAGAATTGATCGCGTAGCTTAGAAACTACACCGTTCTGCATAGGCTGATTCAATTTTAACTGTTCTTGATCAGTTAGGCAAACAATCCAAACTCCCAAGTAAGTTTCAATAGTAATTGACAATCTCTTTCCTTTTAAATCCCAGGATGTTAACATGATGCCTGAATCAGAGGACAAAAAGATTACCGAAGGCACGATAAACGGCGCTGTTATCGAATCCAGCCAATCAGCAGAAGAAACACAAAACGCGCATGAAAAAGTTGATGACAACCTTAAAAGTGAGCTTCGTGGACCGCCAGCGTGGCTTCAAAAGGAAACTAATCAGGGGTCTTCGAAAGTGAAATTACCTCCAGTTACAGAGGCGCATGTAAATAAGAAGAGAAAGAGACATTCTAGAAATTCCAGACAAAACAGCCGAGTAAAAATGAATTCAACAATAGAACCTGTGCCAGAGGAGCTTCCTAACTTAAATGTGAACACTTGAAATGTTTTTCCCCTGATTAGTTATAATACTAGAGGTAATCATTGATTACGGATCCACGTTCGTCACTTACGGAAGAGCTAACGAGTCGAAAGGAGTCCAGTTTCCCGGGCGAGATGCCCCTGATAAAATCAGTGGGGGGGCTAATCGGCAGTCGCCCCCGATACCTCGAAAATTTGTGGCTTTGTACCACAGGAACACCAAGATTAGGATGCGTTCTGACGAACTCGAAAAATTAACGAAAGTTATTAGGTGCGCATGACATGCACACTGAGCCGTTGGTCCGTCGAATTGCACAGTGGAACCATTTTTAATAGGGGCTTTAAGCAATTCGCTACGGCGACCTCTACTGCGACGGTCGGAAGTAAAAAAGCCCAAAAATGACGAAGTGCGCAGGCTCGGAAATAACCCTTTGCCAAGTCCTAAACGTGACGCTGTCTTGTGGCGTAGTCGCTATTGCTCGAGTATAAAATTCGACGTTTTCTCCTGTTTGCAATTTGGCTGACGACGGTGACGTACTCTCCCCAGGACTCCGCATCCACGACATAGTGACTTGCTTAAAGTCCCTATTGGCTGGTGCGAGGTTCCGTAGAAAAGTGGGTGTAAATAGGCCAATTCCGAGTTCCAAAACCCCTTACTTTCAAAATGAAGGCCAAGTACACAACCTTTCTTGTGAAAATGAGTTTTGTTTGCATGAGAATGAAAAATCATTTCCATATCAAAGGCTGAGCACTTAACCTCGTTTTGATACAGAAGCCCGGGGCAACTCGAATATGGCCTATTCCTTCCCCAAACAACCCCATGGGCAATTCAACACAACTACGGACCTAGTCTTATGCACAACTTCAAGTTTGCCAATTACCAGACGCATACAGGTACAATTATAAAAGGCGTAAACATTATCAAAACTACCATGTTAACCATTTACTTTGCGAGACTTTCAGGATCTCATGTGTCTTGGCATCTGTCGCCCGTGCTTAGCTGTTTCTGCAACACTTCATAACACTTAACATGTTTTAAAGTTAGGTATTAGATTTTTGTTTCAACCCCTAAATAGAAACGTATTACCCAAGGGGAGAAAAGGGCACATATGAAAAGACAGACAGGAATTAGAGAAATAAATATCTAGCCGATAATTGAAAGCTTGTCCGGCGATATTTGCAGCTATTTAATTATGTTCCAAAAGGCAGGTTTTTTGCTTCCGATATAACCGAAAACGACACTATTCAGGGAGATGAAAAAAAACTAAATTGTGTTAGCGAGGAGAACAAAAGGAGGATAAGGGGAAAAAGCAATCGTTGCACTCTTAGTTTTGATATTGGCTTCTTTAAAAATAGTTCCTGAACGAAAAAACTGACCTCCGCTTGACGGAAGATGTGGCCGTGACGTTTTCAAAAATCCAGCTAGATATACATTACTTGCAATCATACTGAACCGTGCATTTCCTTTCCATATTTATTTGCGTCTGTTCAGTTTTAATTGTATAAAGGTTTTTTTTAAAATAAAGCTCAATACCCTGGTAAAAATTTAGGCCGCTTTCCCTTTTTCCAAAAATAATTGGCCGAACCGATCAGTACGTGAATATTATACTTCTTGATCAGATAAAACTATCCCACCACTTAGCACATACAGTTAGGATAACAAGGATGGAAGGTGTTAACAATTCGTCCCAGTATGTAGTTTATTTTATAAGTAGGAAGGATAGTATATTTATGCAGGATACTTTGGAGAAAAGTTTAAAAACTTATCCACCCGAGTAAGGACGGAACGCTAAAGGTTGATTTCCACTGAGGCGTTTTTGGCTACGCGCGTTAACGCACGTAAATTTTAATCACGCAAATAAAATAGATACAAGACAAAAAGTGCTGAACTTAAACGAGAAGTTGAGCGAGGTTCAGCTTTTACGCTTACGAGCGACCTTTCATACAATTTGCCTCTATTTCATTTGCGAAAGTAAATTTTACCCACATACACGCGTAAAAATTACGCGACACTGGAAATCAACGATAAGACTCAACGTTGATCACAACTGTTGGACTCCTCTTAACTTTCGCAATTTGTCTACGAGAAAGGAATAGTTTTGATTGTAATTTAACTCCTCTGGGCGATATTGTTGGTTTGCGGCGCTTCTTAAAAATATACCAAATTTACATAAAAAAAGTACTAAATTTATTGCCCGTTTTGTTGTTTGTTCATCAAGTAGATCGATGCTCTCAGGAATATTCAGCAGTCTCACTGGGTATGAGCGGTTCAAATGGAAATCTTGCCCTTTTCTTCTTTTATGATTTCATTTAAAGAAAGTCAATCCGAACATTATTATAATACCAGTAGTGTTTCGACCATAAATAGGCTTGGCCTTTCACGCGCGTTTTTCATAGAAAGTTTTGTTTTCTGTACTTTGCATAGACAAAATAGTTAATTGCAAGGGCTTGACTAACACAAAGACCTGTTAGACTCCTCCCTTGGGTCTTTGTTTGGTGAGCCTTTCGAATAGTATATCCAATTGACGTATAATGAGATTTGAATTTCAATTAATCACAAATTAGCTATTTAGCACGTCTGTGTGCGCATAAGAGTTTTAAACTACAATAACAAACAACGTTGCTGGACTTCCGAGGAAGATAAAACTATGCCGTAGAGGGGATTGAATTGACCGAATCAACTTCACCCTGAAGAAGTAGGTAACGCTAACTTCCCATATTATAATTTGTTTTGCCGATGACCAAAACATAATGGTACATACTCTTATATTGCCTCTTTCGTTAAAATTATTTACCAGTTACCTAGTCTAGGTCGCGTTGAATTGTTTATGAGCGCTACGTATAAAACGGGCTCAAACTTTTATGCAAACCAGCTTATTCAAGACAGCGGCACTTTCTCTACAAATGCCAGAACATGTTTGCCACGGGGCTGGAGCAGATTTGCGATGTTCACAGCAATCTCGGGCATTCTTGGTGAGGGTATTGTAATATTGTGCCTCAATGATATCAGCTAATCATCAGGTTAATACTAGTAGTCTTGGTAACGTCATTAGCTTTACAGAAACGCCGCGATGTTTGTATACGGGTAATCACATGATTTCGAGTGCAATTTGGAATAAATAAGCACGAGTAAATTTTTCAAAGACCAACAAAAGTGCACTCGCCCTACGGGCTCGTACTCTTTGTGGTCTTTGAAAAATTTACAAGTGCTTATTTATTCCAAATTGCACGAGAAAAATCATGTGATTACTTGTTAATAATATACACGAAAAACATAACTACAACAACAAATTTTGACAGTGCGCGCGTTTTTAGTTCATTCAACTGATTGGCTGAAACAGACTACTATTCAGCTAAGAACTTGGAAATGTGCAAGGATTTTTTTATATGGTCACCAGCCTGTTAAAGATAACTTGGTTTACAACAATCAGCAAAAGTAAGTGTTTTTAAATTCATCCGCGATTATGAGAGCTCGGCATTTACAAGAAGCGTTTTCAAGAAGTATACTGCCGTTTTGAAATCAGGAGAACGGTTCGAGCAGCCAAAGATGAAGGACACTTGCTAGGGTTTTTAACGACTGTTTATCATTGTCTGTTCCTGAGACCCCATCATTGAGATTTCAAACCCGAAAATGAAGAAATCAATTTAGTTTCTTTCGACGCTGCCATCGATGGGTGAGTGGAGCCACAGTTGTTGTGATGTCGGAAACTGCCTGTATTAATATAATATTTGCTTTTTCTCAGCGCTGGAGTTTTCATTATTTTATTTGGGCTTCTACAAGAGTCATCGTAGCTCTTCTTCGTCGGCTTCATCGTAGTCGTTGAGGAAATTTATACCTTTGTGGCCTGTGACACTGACGATATGTTCTGAACTTACAATCTTTGCTTTCTTCAGCTTCCTGACTGTTGTTTTTCTTGCACAATGATTCGTAAACTTTTTTATCACGTTCTTTAAGGCTAGTACCAGCTACGGATACTTTCATTATGTGAATTATGGTGTTTTCGCCCATTGGTTTAGTTTGGACCAGATGTTAAAATTTTCGGTTTCGTTTGCTACTGAGGTAGAAAAAAAAAACAGACCATCTCATGGATATTTTAATAGAGGTCTTCGCTCCACAAAAGACACAAAGAGAGCAACACTGAATTAACGTACATGACTTGAAATCCCCTGTTGTTATCATGGAATAGTATCCTTGTTCATTTAAATGCCTGAAGAGTGTAGCTGTCATGGGTTGCGTGTGGTTGCAACCGTTTTTGTTCTTTATTTTTTCACTTTAGCGTAGTCTGTTATAAGTAGCTTGGTTTTTAGTTTCCCTGGCTCATTTTCCTTCATTTTGTTGACAGTATTTTTCTCTTCGTAACGCATTTTCAATACATTTAGCCAGAAAGACGTACTTTTTACTGTGTTCATGTTTTTGTAATTTTTTTTTAACTTTTCTATTGTCGTTTTGCTTACAAAACTGAATCCCGTCGTCGTCTGCTGAAAACCATGGCCATTTTCTCGAATTTTTGTTGTTAAAACAGCTCTAATCTGATTGGTTCTTGTTGGTTTCTTTTGTGTTTTCAGCCAATCAGAAAGAATTTGTAATTTGCACTCGTGTTACAAGTTTGCACTCGTGTTACACATTTTGCACTCGTGTTACAGAAGAACTGCACTCCTCTCTCAGCAAATCAGAATTGAGTAATTTTTTCGTGTATATTATTATATGTATAAATCTGGCCAAATGCTGTTAAATAAAAAGAAAGGAGGCAAAAACTGGTACTAAATTTTTGGTTAATCGAGCCAAGAAGAAATGAATAAATTGATTTACACGTGAAACTCATTCACGTGGCAAGTCATTTAAAACAAAAAAATAAGCTCGTCCAGAAATAGTTTGTTTTGATTTAAGTTATTGGTCTTAAACCTTTATTTCATCACGAGTACCTCCAGACTATACTACATTACTGTAAAGCAAGCAATATTGGCACGGGTGCTCTCAAAGACCAGTCAAGTAATTACATAACACTCGCATTTCTCTTTTTCTTTTTTCCACTGTTTTCCACTGTAGAACAACGTAGGAAAGTGTCGAAAGTAAATTTGTTCGTCAGCAGTTTTCTCAATTTCGTACCTGCAGCCTCAGACTTGTAGGCCAGCGGGTGGTCGTCGGCGGCACCAAAGTGAAATACAAAAATACAACAGAACCTCGATATAACAGCCGTTAATACGGCCAACGGCCACATTTTAAAATCCCAAACAGTAGAATCTCTTATAATTTCACCCCGTTAATACGGCCACTTGTTTGAAATTTAGAAAATTAAAATGCATGTGACATGTCAATTTTATTGACCTAGTACTCTGAGCCTGTTCTTGTACTGTATTTAGACTACAGTACACATAAAGTGCACTTGTTGTGATTTTATAGCCAAATTTTAAAAGTGTTTTATCTACTGAAGGAAAATCAGTTTGTAGTATTTCTTTCAATTGCTGTACGCGATATTTACATTCCGGTTGTTTCTTTATGAGAACATTTGTTCAAGAAATGTGAATGCGATGTACGGTGTTTTGTCATTACGACCCTGAAGTCATCCAATTTTAGCCTGCCCCGATAATACGGCCACCCCGTTAATATTGCCAAATGTTTTTGACCCATTGGTGACCGTATTAATGGAGTTCGACTGTGCTGTAGAATAGGTCTAATTTACAGACTCAATTAGTTCGAACTCCTTAAAAGACTCCATCATTATTTTAGCCTGCGGCGGGAGTGAAAGGGGTCAGAGGTATTAACCTACAGGTGTAGTTTGTGACTGCACATGACTTATGCCTGTAAAGACCTCAATTCGCGGTCGTTTAAAAACCAGATTTACGTCACTAGAACTGTCTTTCCCTCCTCCTTCTTGTTGAAAAGAAGCGCAGCCATCACACAGTTTTGATCCAGTCTAATCCTAAGCTATTGATCTCAAAGTTAAACAGACAATACAATTTTATTGTTCACTGTGAGTCATCAAAGCTGACACTCCTGTTCAGGGCAAAAGAAGCGAAGAAATCAGTACTAGATATCTTACTTTAAGTACACTGTATTTTGAAAGTGGGGAACAGTAATTGAAATATACGGTTTAAGGTCTTTTGACATGGCTTGTCAAAAAAAGTTCGATAGTCAGTCTTGAACCAATTAATGAAAATACTTCCACAAAGTTTGCCCAGTGAAGAAAACATTTTGCAGGGATTAACAATTCGACCACCTTTTGCAGTTTTACATGAGATTATATATTCAGCTTTTTTTGGAACTTGAAGTTACAAGGGATTCCTATGACAGTGCGAAGTGAATGAGGACGTTTCTTGAGTCGTCTTTTAGCGTCTATCGATGAGCTTAATACGCCCGAGATGGATCATGATGATTACCCTTATAGTAATCCAAGAAATGATGTCTGAGATGATCATTTGAATATACACAAGGGCGTGATGCAGATGTGAAAAAGGATTTCCTTGCCTTTCCAAAATCAGCTAGTTGGACCGTTGATAAATTTTGATTGTCTAGTGGTGGTTGAACGAGTCGAGAAATAAAGGGAAGGAACAGTACGGCTGTCGACTTTCAGAATTGTATCTTCGACTTTCCATGGACCGCTTGCAGCCTATGTGAGCTGTTACGCTCGGGGGCTAGTCTGAAATATTAAAGATATAACCTGAACAGCTGGATGGCCTGAAAACGATTTAAAGTTGAGTAACAACAAAGATTTTTGCTACAGTGTATGTAAAATCCTTGTATTGAATGGTTTCCAGAAATTGTCCAGCATTACATGGTGGGTGTGGAACGGATAGACTTGAATTGTGGAGATAGCGACACAGCTGCGACACTTTGTCAAAGCATGACATATTATTCTGACATTTCTTCTCCTTTAATAGACTTTAATAGCTGGTCAATATATTTTTCACGCTTATCTGAAGAAGACTAAGTTTCAAGCAAGCGCCTTGCTATATAAATGAAATTTCAGATAGCATGAACGCAGGACTTGTCATAATTAAGTTGCGAAAGTGCCAAGAATAAGCCGATTCACGCAAATGACATTACCGTGAAGTTTAATGTAAGAGTTGATCATTTCGCGAAAAACACATCTTTAAATAATGTTCGAGTCCAAAATTAAACTGTTATATATACGAATGAAGGCTTGAAGGAGATTACAATATAATACATACTGTAGCTGGTATATGACCTTTCGTAGGTCGTTCCCATGAAGACTCTTGTCGCACTTACACGGAGTCTCAGAATTGACATCTTATTTGATACTGCCGTCTTTTATTTTATGTCAAAAATATAAAAGAAATTGACAGGTAATGAAGTAATAAAGATTTTTAAAGATCTATTTTAAAAAACTGATATGAAGTCGGCAATTTCGCCAGCTTGTGTTTGATCCTTTTGTTTGTACAGTATTAGTTTGTCCTTCAGTTTTTCACATGTTTTAATCAGATTCTTCTCACGAAATAGTTCAACAAGACATCAAAGACTCAAGCGACGGTCTGATAAAAATGGCGGCAATAGCTGTGCTCTTTTTGCTGTTATATTGGCCAGGTAAGTACTAGTTGTAAACACGTGACGTATTTGGACGTAGGTGAAACACTGGCTTACTGTCTACTAAACTGTGATATATACAAGGAGACGATCAGATACTTGCCCACGCTTGTAAATAGCCCACTGATTCGGCTCTTACCAGTTGGGATTCTTAGCCATATTATGTTTCACTTAAAGTATTGGTTCATTATTTCTGAAAAGGCCCATAAGGGGAGAGGATAGTTAAGTATTCATTTTTTTCAAGAATCTGACATACATAGTATAGTACAACGTGTAAAATAATTGCAATTTTATTGGCTGAGAGGAGCTTTGGTTAAATATGCAATACCTGCATAAACTTAAAACTAAATCAGTTTATATAGTAATAAGTATATATGACATATATTCTACTTCTGTACTTCAGAATTATCTGTTACAATGTAGACATCTTTGTATGTGTATCCTATAATCTATACTATTAATATTTCAAGTAAGTATCTGCACTGTTTTATTTTGCCCTATGGCTCAGTTTTAAGAAGATAAAACGCAAGTACTTTAAGTGAAAGAGGATGAAACTGTAGTTGAAAGATTTATTTGACACATATTTTTATAGAATCATACTCCGAAACATTAATTCACAGGTATCCCCAGTTATACCTTGTAACAGCAAATACTTTTCTTACTTTTTTAATAAGCAAGTTGATTTTTCGCCAAATGGTAAAGGTGTTTTGTTTTTCGCTCCGAAAACAGGAATGCGATTGAGTTGTACCATTAACAGAATACCGGAAAATTGTTCGTACACTCTCGAGAGGAAACCTTGCCCTTGTAATCAACACAAACGGTTGAGAAAGTTTAGGTTGTTTTAGGAAAAGGGGAAAAAAAGGAAAAACCTTGGAAGGCTTTACTTTTTTCTACAAAATTTCCACTTGGATACTTTCAGGTGAATTGTCAGCAGAATTACCGCGGGTTTTCCCACAAAAATGGTAAGAGATGTTGGTGAAATTATTTTTCTTTTCAGACCGTGTTGAATGCGTAAACCAGTGTGTCTCGAGGTACCCTTCGTACTTCCGTGGCTACTACATGAAAGCCAGTGATTGCCCAGGAGCCACCCTGAGAAACGCATCTCAAACAGACGGGGATGTCATCTGCTGTATTTTCGATACTACCATAGTTCCCTCCATCCCACAGAATGTCAGTGTTTCCCGGGAAGTTTATTTGGCCATGGTTGGGGATACCACAAGGACAAGAGCGCTGTATCCATTTTATATGAAAGCTTTGAGTACAGCGGACATCATTGGTAATAAACTAGAAATAGCCGCCTTTACCGCACAGGTAAGTAAAATCGCTCGACGGGTGTTTTATTACACGGGAAAAGCACAAGAAAGTGCACAAAATGTCTCTTAAGGTGACAGTGAGAAAGGAGCAGGGAATAGCTGAAAGATGAGGAGTAGGCTTGGATAAATTCTGCTCGTAAAATGGCTTATTCTGCCTGCCGGTAGTGCTCGTAAAAATCGCTTATTCTACTCAAAATTCTGCTTGGACACGATTATTCTGTTCAAATTCTGCTCGGTAACCTAAAAACAATTTTGGCCATGTTTATTTTCGCAAATATAGAAGAGAGCCTGGGTCTAACCCCTAAAAACTAATTCGATATTCATTGGTAGCAAAATTGTAATTCCTCTTACTTTTAATGTGAAAGTGTTGTAGCTACTAAATAATAAAATTAGGGCCTGTTTAGATGAAGGTGGGAGACCTCAGATAGGTGAGGTAGCATGTGGCGGGTCACCCCACCCATCATGTAAACGTAATCAAATTAAAATGAGAGATTATCTGGACAGGCGAGTTACCCCACCTAAGCGGGTTACCTGACCTACCTGAGGTCCCCCACCTCCATTTAAGCAGGCCCTTAGTTTTAAATTTTTCTTACAACTCTTATGCATATCATTAGTACCGCTGATTTTCCCTTATTCTGCTCAAATTCTGCTCGAAAATGCCTTATTCTGCCGGCAGAATGCTGGCCTCAAAAATCGCTTATTCTGCTCGAAATTCTGCCGGCAGAACTTATCCAAGCCTAATGAGGAGTAGTAATAAAATCGAATTGTAAAATGGGCATCTCAATTTAGTATTCCAAATACTTTGTCCTATCGGAAAGGAGTGCTGAAATAAAAAAAGGAAATAAAAAGAAAAAAGATCCTAAGTGTGGTTCGGTTATGATCGCTACCATAGCTACAAAGCGCTTTAAAAAGCACAGCGATCTAAACGATCGTAGGTGTTATATAGAAAATCGGCGAGCTAAAGTCTTGAAGTGACCGTTGCTACGCTGTCCTTAGCACGACCAACAAACTGCGAATTTTTTCTTTGTTTAGATTCTATATCAAACTTCAGGATTGAGATTTTCAGAGGAAAGTTCCTATGGACAAAAGCCTACCAACGAAGAAGGAACTGACAAACGCAAATTTAAAAGTCGTGGATTTCTTCCTTTAATCGGACAACATTTTTATGAACTGGCTTCATCTGCTGTCAAAGAGGAGATTGTTGGTCAGTATAACAACAACAACAACAACAACAACAACAACAACAATTTTTTTATTTACGTAATGCATGATTGCAAACTAAGATAGCTTAGCCCGCAAATAGCACAAGCTAATCGAGGCAGTCTAAAAAAGCGAAAATTAATAATTATAATAATAGTAGTAACGAGAAATTACAATGATGATGAAATAAAAAATAATAATTTTTAATAATTGTTTAATTATTTTGATAATATCAAATATCGACTATTAATTAAGATTCTAATTATAAACGCAGTCAGGTTCTATTCAGGTACAAAGAAAAAACTGTCGTTGCGGGCGAAAAGGGAGACTTTTGATTCGCCTTGTATAGCGATGGCCTGGAATCTACATGTTTTACTCAGGAAAAATTAAAATTCAGGTTCGTGATCTCACTAAATGGGAGACTTTTTGATTCGTTGCAGGACAATCTTATCTCTAAAAATGATACAGACCGTGATCTCAGAGCCAAAGTCTAAAAAGCGATTTAAAAAGCGATTTAAATTAAGTTTATCCAGGTTTCATGACAGTGCACGGTTTTTATATTTTACACGTTTCCAAGCATGTTACGTCGCTTGTCATCCGAAAGCTTCAATGAGCTTTAAGCTTAAAAAAAATTCAAAAGCTCAACTGTTAGGGGGCAAAATAGGTCTAGATGAAACTTTGTCCCCAGGGTTCTTCCCTGAGGTTATGCGAGGGGCTGTGGACAAGGGAAAGGCCCAGAGGACGAGTTTGGACTAAATGATCAGTTTCTTCATTTATTGAGTTTTTCAGCATAACCATTTTGGGGCACATTTACAAACTCATGGTCTCTTTGCTAACATCCCACAAAATTGAAAACACCCGCAGATCAGCCGGAGATGGTGGCTTTGCCATCCATTGGATTCCAGGTGGCTGCATGGCTCTGGAGAGAAGGGTACGCCTCAGCTCGTAATATCAGCCTAACCACAGGGAGTATGGGAGACTACTGTAATGGAACTGAGTACAGCTTCGTTGAGTTATCTTACAAGATTCAAAACAGTTCCACGGGGATTGAACAACTTTTCCAGTACTGGAGACACACTACTAAGGTAGCTGTTTTTAGCTTGTTTTTTTTTTACACTCACGCCAATGGCACAAGTACCTATGCCAATAGTTCTGAACGGAACTATTTTCAACTTTTATTTAACTTTTATTTTCTTTTTCGGAATCCATTGCCTCATTTACTCTAAATTGATGCTCAGAACACACGTTTGTCTAAATCTGCAATCCTGGTCCTTGTGACATTTCTGCAATATTCATATTTTTCTTTCATTTCTTGGTTCCCTCTTAAAACAGGGCATCCTTTTTGAAAGTGTCTTTCAGTTCTCCCTCCCTCCACCCTATACAATTGTTTGTGGGGTGAGGGGAGGGATTTGGACCTTTGTGAATTGGAAAACGTCTCAGAGATGCAAAAGTGATTTAAGACGTTTTGTCCATGATTGTAGCTACCGAGTGAGTGAGCGTTTTCATATGAACTTTCCCCTTGGAAAGAATTTCACTTTCCAAACTCGGTTCAACAGGTTCTTGGTCTTTCATGTCCATCCCAAGGACAAGGGCCGTTGTGTTACTCGAAGCAAAGAAAAGGACGTTGTAAACTCATGAAGAGCTGCAAAGGAGAGTACACTACAGAGGGTTGCCCTGGACCGTCACCTATCGCCTGTTGCCTAGGTAATGGTATAGTTTAGTTTAATATAAAAACTTACGGCCAAAAAGTGAAAGAGTGTGATTGCTGAGTATGACCATCTGGCTCATTCTCTCTTGGTGTGACCTAAAGAAGTATGCCGATCCGTAGTCAAGGAGGGTGTTATCCGCCGAGGTCGAAGACCGATGGACATAACACCCTCCGAGGCCTTCACAATTGAGATTCTAACAAAACCGAGGAATCCAAAACAAGAGATAATGAGCTACCTCACTCTTGTCCAAAATTATTATTCAAAATAATTCGTACTTTCAAAACATGCTTACCTCGATCAGTTCCACCGCAAAACAGGTGAAATTTTTCGCCAGTTTTTCCAGCTCTAACAAAACAGCTCAGCTAACAGATCCTCTTCCCTAGGGCTTCTTGGCTGCCGTAGCTTTTTCTGGCGATAGCCTGCACTACACAAACGACATTTTAACAGGTATAGATAGATATGTCTTTCTAACAATTACTTTGTAGAAGTGTATATGACATTTTGGCAGCAAAATACCGTATAACTGGGTTAAAAAAAAAATGCTTAAGATACCGTGGAACCCTAACTTCTAGTTGGGACTGCATAATTTTTCCTGTTATTGATAAAATACAAATCTATTTTATTTTTATTGGTAAAAGATAGTGCTATTTTATTGCACACTTTACTTAGTTACCCAGCGGATAGCTGAAAATTGGGTTTTCTCCCATCACCACAGAAAAGGTTTGAAGGCGGGATAATAGAGAATAAAAACTCCTAAATAATGCTAGGTAGTTGATATAGTCGTTTTGTGGTATAGGTTCAGAGTTACGGGAAGTTGTCTATCGTCACCGTAGTCTCCACATATTAAAAACGAGACCTGATGGTCAGCTGGTATTTCTTGGGGCATTTTCCGTCTGAAAAATAACTGCAAGTAGCACTTAATGGCATCTCAACATTAACTGCTGCTAAAAGCAATAGTATTTCATTAAAATATTATGTCACGTGACTTATCACTAGACGTATATTCTACGGGGAATAAAATAAAAAAACAAAAACAAAAACAAAAACAACAGAACCAAAAAAAATTGGGCAGGCCACATCTGGACTTGCTTGTCCGGAAAAGTATTCTTTTTTCACCTGGTTTCTTTACTCATTTTCTCAGATTGTCAGAATCCGATCGACTTGGCCTTTGTGTTAGACTCCTCTGGAAGTGTTTCTCAAGCAAATTTTCAGCTTGGATTGCAGTTTATCGTTAGAGTCTGCGAATACTTCGACATCGGATATCCTCATGGAACTCGAGTTGCTGTCATCAGATACAGCTCCGCTGCATCGATATTGATCCGTTTTAATACGTACATCAACAAGGAAGATGTCCTCAATGCAATAAGGGCAATACCCAGGCAGGTTGGCTCGACGCGTACTGATTTAGCCCTTTTATTAGCTAATAGGGAACTTTTTAATAACAGTGATAACGGAGTGAGGCCGAAAGACTTAGGAGTTCCCAGAGTGCTTGTTCTTCTTACAGACGGAAGGTCCACCTCGGGAATAAAAAAGGTGATTGAGCAGTCTAATTTGCTCAGACAGGAAGGCGTTAATATCTTTGCTATGGGCATTGGGCGGAACATCAATAACGATGAACTAAACATTATTGCCAGTGACCCAGACGTTGATCATGTTTTTTATCCCAAGACGTATGCTGAAGTAAACTCCATGGTAGAAAAAATGCGCGAGGCTTCATGTTATGGTGAGTATTATTTTAAGGTCTTATCCTGCACTGCTGTCATTATCTAAATTCTGATTGGCCCTTGGCACGCTTTTCATTAACGGAAAAAAGTACAGTGGAATGCGAAGAATATAATGGAAAATTATAAAACGAATCTGCCTCAAAAGTGGTCGCGGTTGCTTACGAGAAGTGTTCGTTTACGAGAGGTTCTAACTATTGGGCGTTGATTTTGAAAAAAAGATGGTATTCTGGATAACAGGTCGCTTATGGGAGGTGGTCGCTTACAAGAGGTGGTCTCACTTGGAGGTTCGACTGTGTTTATACATGTAAGGAGGTTGTCATTTGAATGTTAAACAAGACTCCCATTGCAATTGTTTGTAGAAAATAATAGTTCTGTCTTACAAAACGTTCCCAGAACCCGCATTACTTGAAGAAGAAAAGGAGGTGATGTCAGACGTCCAGTCAAACACTGTTAAGTATTACAAGTACGATTTACAGAACAAAACAGGGATAAAAACCTTGTTTATTGAGATAATGGGTGGTGGAGGTCGCGTATCTGTATCCATGAAAGATACGAATCCCCGAGGCCATCGATTTAACCTTGGATTTTGTGAAACTAGTATTGGTGATAATTTCACCACAAGTGGAGATATCTTTATGCTGGAGGAGCTTGAAAGCAACGACTTTTGTGATGTCCATGAAAATGGAGGTTGTACTGAACCTCGTTTTGTATCCGACGACGAGTTCTTGGAGGAGGGAATCATTACTTATGTGAAAAGATGCTCGAGCAGGTGGTTCTATGTTTCTATCGAAGGAATCAACAGGACAAATAAATTTAATCTGACGCTATATAAAGATTTCATCCGGACAAATAATATAGAGGTGAGTTGTGTTGTAGAATTTAAAGAGTAAAAGGTGAACACTTACTCAGAAATTATTTCCCGACCCTTCACTGTTGAGCTCTTTTAGTGAGAAAGATGTTTCAATTTTTAAGTCTGTAAGCCAAGAATTTATTTAGTTGAATGTGCGCCTAGTTATTTATGTATTTAAAAATTCCATTTATTGGTATTTCACAAATTAAACTTCTGGGAGAATTTGGCAATCTTTCGGAAAGACAGTGTTTAGCCGATACATGTAGTTGTTCGTTACAAAGTTGGTGAAACTCCTTTGGGCTCTGTTCCAGGGCAAGGAGCCCATAACGCGGAGCGAGCAACTTCCATGCCCTCGTGTCACCACGTTTTCACAGATCAGTTTATTTTTAGAACGGTTTTTGGCCAAATTTTGTATATCTTGTAAATTCCACAAACCAGTCAGCAAAACCTGAAGATCTAACACGGATATTTTTTGCCTTTTAATAACGTTTAGTTTTCCTTATAATTCGAATGAGCTCATAGACATGGTGGAGATTCTATTTTCGCCGGAAAAATTGCTCTAAATGTATCTAAACATAAACTGGTCCGTAAAAACGCCGTGACATAGGCTAGTGTGGGCGTTGCTCGCTCCCGGTTATAGGCTCCTGTCCAGGTTAAGTGTATATCTGATAGCAGCGAAAAGAAACATCAAAAAACACATACCGTAAACTGCCACTTGTAAGCCCCGCTAGTTTTAGACCCATCGACCTCTAAACAAAAAAATTCATCCGATCTCTGATAAGCCGCCCGCTAGCTTTTCTTTCTTAAACTCGATTTATTACGACGCAAGTTAAGTGAATTAAAAGCCAGTAAGTGCAAAACGTTTTTTTTAGATTAGCACTGCTATAGCTCTGTTTCGACTGACCACTTATTCCATTTTGGTTATAAGCCTCCTTGCTTCCTTGGGTATAAACCCTTCCATTTAAAAGCCTTATTACTTCTTCTGTCTCAAGGTATCTTTCCTCTTTTGGTTAGAATATCACCGAAGAGACAGAACTGAATAAGACAGCCACCTTTCCGATTCCACAGAACGTTTACGTTGGAGTAGCAGTGGCCACTATTGGCACAACAGCCACGATAGCCTCCGTGGTTACCCTCTCGTAAGTATTAGCATTATTATTGAATGAGGCTGAGTATCATCTGAAGAATTATGAAGATCTCGGGGGGTGTTATGAAAGTTGAATTCAATAATTGTTTTATTATTCATTCAAAATAATTCCTAGCTTAAAAACAAGCTAAAACAATTGCTAAAACATGTTTACCTCCGTCGATGTTAAGTTCATCTCGATATATTGTACTTGCATGTTGATCGGGAAGTTTAGAAGATAAAGGGCTGTTCAGGTCTGCAGATATACCCCACATAACGGATGTCGTCCATCGAGTTGTCTTCTTGCTGTTTTTGCTATGTTTTTAGACAATGGTTCGCCGTGTAACGAGTAAAATGTTCCACCGTTTTGTTCTCACTACCAAAACAACTCACACTCGTTCCCAGGTTTTTTTGGTTAACAGTTCAACTACACGATTGACGTCATCAGTTCAATATCGCAAAATCCTTCCAAATTTTTTCGACAATAGCTGGTTATGATGAATTATGCGTGGGATTTAAGTCAGTTAGAAACGGGGAAAATTTTTAATTACTAATAATAACATTTATTGATGGTGCATGTCCTATATGGCAGTACAAAGTCAAAAGGAAATAAGCAAAAAGGGAGGCAACCGAAAACTGTAAATGTCTTGATGATTCCTTAGTCCAAAGGGACTCATGGAACTAACCATTGTCAGAACTGGCCATCGAGACTAATTCAGCCAGAAAGAGAGTGTCCAGCCAGATCAGTCAATGCGTGAAAATATGAAGGCAGTGATGAGTTTTTCGCTAAGACTTCCGACAAAACCCCTTTTTCATTTTCAGTATGACCTGTCTACTGGGCAGTTCTGACATAGCTAGGTACGTAAGCGTCAAGTGCCCTGTCCTTGAAAGGCTCATAAGCGCTAATCCAGGATTAATACTTATTGCACGATTGTATTTACCTTTATATATAGATTTGGATTAAAAGTATCATTCTGTGTTATCATAACTGCATCTCATAGTGAAGTCTGTGCAATACCGTACATGCCTCAATTACATGTTCCTTGAAAAATCTCGTTTAAAAAATTTGGCTTATCCCCGGCGTTTATCTGACCATCTTTCGAGGAACCACGCCCTACGTATTTAGGGCTCTTAGACCCTTTCGTCATTACGATAGTGTTACTCAGTGCTTTCACTCATTGCTCACTGACATTATTATGCAAGTAAACTAGGTAACATAGGATTAAATTAATTGGTGGAGTACTTGATTGGTCATTTGACTATCATTTTTTTTATTGTATTTTAATCACAGGTGCGCAAAGGACTTTCAATTAAAAGGATCAACCAAAATAAAAAAGACGAAGAGGAAGAACAATAAAAATGCAGAAAAGAATAATAATGGTACCGTTAACAGCGGTTTCGAAAAGGATGATGAGGTTAATAAGGATGTGAAACTTGATAATTTGCGAAATCGCAGTTCTACTCTTTCCCCTTTGATTGAAAAATACGAGCACATGTCATTTGAAGAGCCATCTAGAATTGCCACTGAAGAGAGAAAAGGGAGACAAAGGGTTTGTTCTATTGACGTAGCCGAGATGGAAAACACGCAAATAAAGAAAACAAGATCTTCCTCTTTTTCTGCTGAAAATCAAGGTAGGAAATCGTCTATACAAACAGTGACCATTGCAAATACAAATGAAGCTAAGCGTCGTCCCACTCGTTTAAGCCTAGTTTCTTCTATGATTCAAGATTTACAACGAGAAGATACAATTATTAAAGAGACCACTACATCTGTCAATCCATCTGGTTCCGCGGAAAACGGAATTCTCGCGTGGAGATGTCGCAGTTCAAGCGACAGATTACGAGCACAAGTGTGTCCGTATCGCTTCGGACACGTCCAGAAACACCTAAAACGCCTCGACCCAACAAAGAAGAGTCGGATGAAAAGACAGCTTGCTATTTTAGGTGGAAGCCATTTTATTCGCAAACTAAAGCACAGAAGTCAAGAAAGAAAGTCGGAAACAGTACCGACAGAATTGATCTTGAGAAAAGCATAACCGAAGAAGAAGACAATAAAGAAGAAAAAGTTAGTTTCCTTAAACGGGTTAAAAGGAAATTAACATGGCGCAATGCTTTGGCGGTTCTTTTCCCTTGTTTTACATACTACATTCTGATGAAGGGAAATAAAGAGAAGCCGTCAGACAATAAAGAAGATAAGAGCGAGAAAGGCCATTGCGAAATGAGGTAAAGGAGCGATCCTTGGTATCTAAGACCCTGTTTACATGGAGTGGGGGACCCCGGTCTAGTGGGGTAAGTTTCTTTTGTTTTGTGTCCCCCAGAGCGTGAAAACAAAAGAAACACAACCCCACTAGACCGGGGTCCCCCACTCCATGTAAACAGGCCCTAAGGCAGCTGCTTGAAACCACTAAGGAATACATGTTTGATTAGCCTCTAGGAAGTTGCTTAATCTAAATCAGTCCCTGGAGGGCACTCAACTCAGGGTACCACTTTCGTATACCTTCTATTAACAAACGGCACCCCTTTCACATAGCTTCCCTTTAAGCTGCTGTAAATACAATGTCTACTTAAAACATGCATAAATCACAAATCTGAACGTTTTATTGACTTTTTCACAAACATAAAATGGATCTGTTAATGATAATTATAAAATAAATCATATATGAACCGCGGAAATGAAATGAAAATGAAGAAATGATCGTCGCTGTGAACGCAATTTATGCAACTGAGTAAAGACGCCTGAAAAAAAATTCAGGACTGCAACGGGGTTTGAAGCCGTGACCTTGCTATTACCGGTGCGATGCTCTACCACGGTGCCGAGCTATGAAGCCACTGACGTTGGGAGCAGGTCGTTCACTGCGACGATCATTTCTTTATTTTCATTTCATTTCGGCAGTTCATACATGATTTATTGCATATATCATTAACACTCATTTCTTTCACAGGAACATATGAACCCACAATTGACCTGCTCCCGACGTCAGTGGCTTCATAGCTCAGTTGGTAGAGCATCGCACCGGTAATCGCGAGGTCACGGGTTCAAACCCCTTTGAAGTCCTGAATTTTTTTCAGGCTTCTTTACGCAATTGTATAAATTGCGTTCACTGGGACAATCATTTCTTCATTTTCATAAATGGATCTGTTAACCCTTTCGGGCCTTTTCACAGACAGAGGTGCCGAAGTGACAGATTTCCCTACCCTTTCATGAAGCCTGAAAAAGGTACCCCTACCTGGCGAAGCCTCCCCGTTTAGGTCATTTTGAGGAATACACCACGGAAAATCATTAGTAAAGATTTCATCCACAAGGTGTCAGTATGGTAGCTTCTATTGTGCTTTTGAGGGTCTCCTTGAAAATACCGATTAATTAACTAATGTTAGGTGTAAAATGTTACTTTGTTTAAACGTGGAAGAAATGTTATTGCCTATCTGTCAGTTAATCGACCACAGTGAAAAGTTCCCAAAGCTGCCATACGAGCAGTCGCTTGTTCGAGAAATTATATACAGTGGTCTGTGGAGCTATGATAATGATAGAAACAGGGTTACGTGGAGACAAGAATAAATAAGTTGATTTTTTTTCACACATCACAGGGACCGTCGCTTCGAAAGAGATATGCAGATGACTCAAGCATTTTGTGTCTTGTTATCCCAGCTCTTGTTTCTGGCAGGAGCTGATGCTAGAGATAATCAGGTAAATAATTTATAATAATGTGTTTTTTAATTCAATAAAGTGGTTTTAATTCCTTTAAAGGAATTTCAATGAAATTAAAAAAAACAAGCAACAATAATTGATTAGAGGAATATTTTTGATTAAGCGTTTCTATGGTTAATTTTTTACATGACTCTAGTGGCTAATTAAAACTCAAAACTCCCAAAAGTTTCTCCCTTAAGGGTTTGCAAACTTGATGTACTTTTTCCACCCATCTTTTTCTCCCGAGGATCCCAACTGTACCGGTGACCACTGATATTAGTGCTGTTCTCATGTCCTACATTTTCTCGATCCCTATTCATTGGTCTTTACTGTTTGAGAGTTTTTCTCCTGTTTTCTGAGTGGACAGACTTGTCGATGAACCTACAGGTTCTCTTGTCCTTGTCTTACCTGTTCTATCTACTGTATTTACCTGGATCTCTTTGTCCTTTTGGATGGACTTTGTCCCAGAGTATAGTAGTTACTTCGTTTTTTGTGACTGCTGACGTTCGTGTTAACGTGTTAGTAATACTTGTCTGATACTTGACGTTGTAGTACTGGCAGTATGCTGTTGCCTTGTTGCCATTTTACCTAGCTCTCCTAAACAACTGAGTTTATGCAAACCTCGTCCTCCCTGGTTCCCATCCCCCTTTCTGGGTATAGCCTGTACTATTAACGTCATTTTATCGGATATCAGAAACTTCTTCCAAATTTGGTGAACACTACCTAATTGGGAAGAATTAGTCAAGGGCTTTGACGGAGCAACTCAGAAACGGAGAAATATTTTGAATGGATAATAACGAAATGTAAGATCAAATGATCTATAACACTTGACCACCGTCGTATTCATTCTCTCATTTTGTTTCCATCAGATTGCCTGTGCTGTTGTGGCTATTGCCATGAATTACCTTTCTCTTGTAACGGTTACTTGGCTTATTGTACAGGCCATGTATCTTTTTTCCTTCACGAGAAGTAGAGAAAGTGAAACCAAACAGAGGCTGAAAATTAATCTCTATTACGCAGGCGCATGGGGCAAGTATTATCTTAATTCACCACTTTAGAAATGAGATTGAGACTGGACCGAATTAACTTTCGCAAAGACTTCTGGGACTTTTACCAAGGACATGGAAAAAGATGACCCAATCGCTGACCCATGTGACCTCAGGAACGATCTCAGAGACAATTGCGGGACACTTTTCGGCGCCAGTCAACTTCTCGTTTATAAAGTGGTGAATTCAGTTCAAGTAAATCAAAGTTTATGCGACCCATTTATCCTATTAGTTAAGAAAACATGGCGGTAGTAGAGTTTTGTATGGCTCGAGGAGCGAGTCTGGTTAAAGCTTACTAGCGTTAGTTGCAAGACACGACTGATAATCAAGCTTCTCTTCACATCCCTTTCATAGCCTAAACAGTTCGCTTACCAATAATCGACTTTGGTTTTCTCGGCAGGTTTGCCCTTATTTGCTGTTGTGATCCTTGCGTCCAAGTACGAATCATACAATAAACATCCACAGTAAGTAATCCATCAAAGCAGGCATCTTACTTAGCACACTGTTGATTTATTTATCAGTATTTAAATTTCCTCAAGGAAACTATCGTTTTTTTCTCTTGAAGTTGTTGGATCTCATTTAGTGACGCGCTGAGCTGGTCAGTAGCCACACCCATGATTACATTGGGATTGGTGAGTTTATCTATAAATATTTTAACTGACCTATCCAAATATGCAATAGTCACAACACACAACCTCGCGGTGTAGCCAGTACCTTACACATTCGCACAACCTAACGCCCGGGCGGTGGTAGCCATGAACAGCTGTTTCGTCCGCATTTGGGCTTATAAGCTGATGGCATAGCCGTCATCAGGCCCTTATACAACCAAAGGACCGTTGCCCATTATGACCGAGGCGAGTAAGAATTAATGAGCTCTTTAAACGACAGCCCAAATGAGTAACTGTTACTATTTATACCTCAACTGACAGAACCTAAGATGATATCAGTTAATTTTTCATGCTTGGTACTGAATACTGACGGTGTTACTGCCCAACACGTCGGACATTTTTCTGAACACTTGATCGTGAGAAACTAGAAATGCTTTATTTTCAGACTAGTGGTTTCTCCTGAAAAATATCTGCAGTGTAATATGTTATTTCTACTGCAACCCCAGTTTTTTTCTCTCACTTCTTTGTATATTTTATTGCAGTATTGCGCTGATAGAACCAATAACATTGCACTGCCATAAGTTAAGAAATATACATAGTTCTACAGCAAATGGCAAAGTTAAGCATACCAAGAAAGTGATCATCAAAACCGCCTCCTTTTTTCAGGTTCAATTCGTTCTTGTTATTTTACTGGTAAAAGCTTTGGTTACTTTTCGTAAGTCTGGTGACGCGAATGAACATGAAGACAAGAAAAATGTTGTCAAGTAAGATACACTGAACTATGATTTTATAAAACCGATATTCTCAGTTGGAAAGCAGTCTTACTGGACAGGCCTCTAATTTTCAGTCCAGTTACTAACACCCTGCCCCAACAGAAAACTCAGGTGGGTCCCTTACACAACAATGAAACATCGGGGCGAAACACCCATTCTTAGTTACAAAGGTGAGTCTATCAATTATGCCACTCATGATATAATCGGTGAGTCTAAAACCTGTGTTAGGTGACATGAAGATGTATCTCTAGCTTGCCTTTAACGTGGCCTCTAAAGTCTAAGGCTTGTCAGAACACGGGATATACAAGTGAGCCCACACTGACGTTGAGCAGTAAACTCAGGATGAAATTCAAGTAAGAGCAGACCACATAAGCCCAACTGTCCAGTAGCTCTGCCTCATATTTCATATGCATGTCAACTTCCAAGAAGGTTTCAGCATAGTCTGTTTATACGGTCTCTTTGGAGAGCCTCGAGCGCCCGTAAGAAAGTTAAAAACGCTCGAAGCGGGTTTTCGCTTCGCGCGCCCTCATCCTATATATTATTAAACAAATGCTTAACCTCATTTCCAGAATTTTTAAGTGACTAACGGTGAATTAAATAACTTTAACAGGTCTGGCTTGAAAACAGTAGTTTGCATAACAATCACTGTGATTGTGACGTGGCTTCTAGGATCACTGTCTCTGAACATAGACAAAGATGTCTACCATGTGTTCTTCACTATATTCAACGCCCTTCAGGTAAATTTTCACTCGGTCTTGTGACATTCAACACAAAGGTACCTGGAGGATATGCTTTTTTTCCCCCACCAAACAGTCACAGAATCGCCAGGAAATATTCGCTGTTGGCTAGGGCTATTTGACCTCAAAAATTACTTAAAGTAAAAGTTTCCACAGTTTAAAAAGCGAGTAAAAAACTATTTTAACTCTAGATAAGTAGCAGAGATACTGACTCTTGAACGAGAGCTGTAGTTAGCATTTTAGAGGACTCGGAGGGTAACTCCAGTCCAATTCCTGATATCTCTTAGTATCAGGAGTAGTAGTCCCCCTATGAACTCTTACATTGTCCGCACTTGGTTCTGAGCCGTATAGGCTTGAAAGCTAGAATATAAACTTACTATCTATTGTTAAACTCGCAGGGCTTTGCTTTTTTTCTGTTCTATGTGGTCTTAAATCCTCAAGTTCGCCAACTTCTTGTCACCGTTTGGGAGTGGAAAGAATCCTCTGTGACGCCTTTTGATGAACACGAAGCCATCGAGATTGAAGAAGAAGAGGTAACTATAAGGCTTCCATACTCAAGCACAACTGACAACCTGTGTTTGTACAGCCGAACGTTCTGAACAAAAATTGCTGCGCCTTTATTATTATCCGGGGATTTGCAAACAATTTGTATGAGGCTTGAGTTCAACTTCCAACGGTGGGAAACGGGTTCTTGTTAACCAACATCGCCGCATTAGCTTCTGCTGTAAAACAGCAAAATTTGATTTAGAAACGAACAGTCTTTTTTTCTGTTTACTTCAGGAAAAAGAAAAGAAGAAAGGAAAAGGAAAAGGCAAAGCTGGACCTGAGAACAAAGAAAAAGACGCCAAACCAGAAGAACAAGTGACGACAGTTCAGAGCGTGGTAGGAGCTAGATTAGCCGTTTCTTCTATGGCCAACAAAACCAAGCCCAAGAACAAAGACAACGGAGTAACTTTGGTTAAATTTGGAGAAAGAAAGGAAATAGAAAAGGCTAACTTAGCGGATAAACCCAGCAGGACTGTATCAGTTAAAAAGCTTGCTCCCATTTCACAGCCAAACAAGAACACTTTATCAAATCTGTCGCGTGAGCCTCGTGCAAGGTTAGAAATGCAGGGACCCTGGACTGTTAAAACGCCCGCGCGGAAACCTACCGTTACTTTGCCAAAAGAAAAACGACCCCGTTCTCCTTCACCTAGTGGTCAGCAGTTGCACGTTTCGCTCCATCAGGATAAGAAAAAGACGCAGTTACAGATAAAGGATAAAGTTCCTGAAACAGGTAAATAATTATTTACGATTTTACTTAAAAGGAAAATTGTAAAAAAAATTCCTCCACAGCTAAATATTAGGGACGTTGAGATACGACATCGGCTCGCGATGCATATGAAAACATCGCTGAAAAATAGACTTTGCGTCCTTTGAAACTTCCTCGCCTTTATATCAAGTCACCCAGTTAGCTGTAAGCAATGCAAGGACGCTAGGTTGACACTGAGGAGAGAGAACTGGCACGTTGAAGTTCAGAAAGAGATAGTAATCTATTCCCAGTGGACGCTCGCATAACAAAGGCCTGGGACTCAAGAGATGAGTTACGGGACATGCGATTCCTTGGCTCGCAGACGAAGGACAGCCTTAGATGAAGCGAAAGGTCTCCACTGGCCTCCCCAACCCCATCACCCGTAACTAACTCTCCCATATCCCGAAACTAAAACGACAACACAAGCACTTATCAGAATTGTCGGCTTAAAGCCAGCCACAGCAACAAAAGCTTTATTTGCAGGACCATAAATGATAATACGGTATTGCAAAAGCTACTAGTCTAAATTTAATTACTAATTCAACCAATTAATGTAAAACGTTTCAAAACATTACAGATCTCATTCATTCATTGATATGAATCCATTTGCTTCTTAATCCAAATCATTGCAAGATGCAAGATAAATAAAACTAACTGACAGTTAATCAAATAATCAGAAGAATTCATAAAGTGAGCTACTAAATTATCATGTGAAAGAGATTTGAAGTTAGGTAATGTAAATTCTATTTTGGAGAAAAATACGTCTATGATCTTAGAATAAGCCTTACAATTTAGTATGAAATGAATTTCATCTTCACTTTTGTTACTGTTACAAAAGGAGAATATCCTTTCATTGCTACGGATTTTTTCGTATTTACCTGTTTCGGTTCTAAGTTGATGACTACAAGAATGATGCTATCACGAAAAGCGTTGGCAAGATATTCCGTAGAAGGACCACCTCGAGTAATTTGAACAGAACTACCAGCCATTAGGCATCTGAAGAGGTGTTGGCCGGGTATTTAGAGGTTTGCAAATTCAGAGCGCATTCGACTATCGCAGCAGATTCCTCACCAAAGCGCTTCGTTTGACCTTCTTTAGACACCCGTTAAGTCTGAGAAGGGAGGAGTGTCCGGCCCAAAAACACTCACAGAGTCACCACCATTCTTAACTGCGAAGGGGTCTTAAAACTATTTAACGTGCCGCGCCCGCACGGTAGAAGCGAGGATTCGACTATCGAAAATAAAGTTATTCAGGAAGTTAAACTGGAAAAGCTAGAGGAAATGTCCAGGCGCATTTATTTACATAGGTCGACGAAAGACTGCAAATTCCGCACTCCAAGATCTCTCTTAACATCTAGCCGCGCATTTGTGAAACAGGAGGCAAGAGCCAGCAGAATGTTCTCACACCTTAACTGCGTTTATATAAGAAGAAGATCGGAAGCCCTGTCACCAGAAGAAAACCAAGCGAGAAAAATCCAAGCTCTCGAGTGCTAACGATCAGTAACGTTCGGGATAGACAGCTGCTACCTAACAGAATATACCTTAAGTGGTAGACGACTTATTTCTATTGTTTCGTCCCCATAATATATATATACAGAGGCCCTCTAGCCTGTAACTGCACCTAATAAATATTTAAGTTACTGCTTGACCAACAAGTGAGTGCAACGCAGGATTTCAAAACACTGTGCCAGCAGACTAATACCGTGCGAGAACAGTAACCGCTGTACAAGTCTGCGTATACGCAACCAAGGGACTGACATGAGTTGTTACACAGCATTGTTTGCCTTTGCCAACTTTGATAAAAAATATTTAACAAGATCTTTTGGTGAGGCCTAGGATAAATTCTAATAGGGCTGTAAAGAGGACAGGAAATTTGAAAACTAAGCCTCCAGTCAAGTTGTGATTTTCCAGATTTTTTTTTTTTTGCGCTGACAGAGGCTCCATTCTGGTATCTATGAGGAAAGTGTGACCCAAGTTATCAGTAAGAAACCCTTTTGCCAACACATTTGGCTAAAAGGAAACAGTCGTAGTTCTGCATACGAACATTTGTTAGACAACAAAGCAGAATAAAATCAATAGAAAAATCAATAGCGCACCCGACATAACAAGCCACCGGTAACGACGGAGTTAAGGAGGCATTAAAAGGACAGGGTTGGGAGGCGCAGGCAAGGAACCGAAGCACTATACCAACTAAAGTCAAAGGTGGAAAGACTTACTGAGCGACGTCCAAAGAATAGAGAGACTAAGGAAAAAACATTAACTATGGCGGACTCTTTGGTAGACCAGGTGAGAAAAGTAAAGCGGCAGCCTTAAGCATCAAAAGGGGTGTCAAACTAAGGTCAATAAAGCGATATAAAGAGGGCCTCCTTCTCTAGCTTACTCTAAACACGAAGGAGCAGCATGCAAGTACTGGCGGAGAGAGCCCCGGAGGGCGTCCATAAGATTACCTCCTGAGGGAACTTACACCAAGGACAGGGCGATAAAAAGTTGGCAAGGTAGATGACTAAATGACGACGGAAAGAGCTTTCCTCAGCTGCCCGCACCTTGATTTTAGCACGTGCGAACTAACAGTAGACTGTACACGAAGATAGCAACTTAGTATCTAGGCCTGACACGACTTAACACTAGGCAAGAGGCTCGGAGGCGGGGGCGCTCGGACCAGTACTGTCACGCACTTCAATGGAATTCCGCAATCAACAGGCCAGGAAATCAATCACCCCATTCCGAGTTCAACATATCACAAAAAGGACCGTTAGTTCTAATTACATGCCCCTCAAACAGTGGGACACCTTGCCGGATATACACAAATCTCTAATATAGAATACCCCTGAGAAGGACAGCAGAAACATTGATGGACTTACGGGAGCTTAACGGGATGGCAAGATGACGAGGCCCGGGTGTAAAGTAAAGCCGCGAGAACAAGGTGATTTTGCCCGCGAGCCGTTGCAAGCTTCCGAGATCCACAGTATCCTGAGTCAGGATGAATGACGCTCTTAAGCCCTTCATCTTTAGCTTCTAATCTCCGGAAGGACGAACGTTAAAGAAAGGGAGTACAGCCAGAAAGGTAGACCAACCAACCGACGCACAAGGAGGGGCGGAAGACGACTTTCTAGAAGGTTTAGCGCCTTGTGCACCATAACCTGGCCTGCACGACAATCACTGAAGTATGAGGAATAGGGTGAACTCCAAGAAATATTATGCCACTAGTGGCCAATAAACCAGTTGTGTGATACACATAGGCACCAGCCTCCCAGCCGAGGGGGAGGGTGTAATACACAAAATATCCTTGATTCACAAATTTAGAAAGCGTCTGTCGTTGCGCAATTGCGATTCTAAAGGCTCAACAGTTATGAGCATGACGAGATAAGGGGGTTGAGCCTCTCAAACCTTGCCCCAAAGTGCGCACAAGCCATTATGGAATGTATAATTATTTGTTTACAGTATACTACTACCCGCCAAAGATTCAAATGGTAACTTTCGCATGAAGGTATTTCTATTTAAGCTGAAATGCCACTGCTCAAAGCCAATAAAATTGCAGAAATTTATCATGTTGTAGTATAATAGGGGAAGTAAATTCCTCAAATTCCGATCAGGGGGAAACGGTGCAAGGCACATCTCCCCTCGAATCTGCCTTGAAAGGTAATCTTCAAGGAATTAATCTCGTAAAAAAACACTTAGGCTCTTAATGGGGAAGAACGTTTTCCGAAATGACCTCCCATTGAGCTAAACTGTTGGTAAGATCTCTGGATACAATAAAAGGAAGACGGGTACCCGAAGACAGGGATACGGCTGAATGAGCATACCATTTGGCCTGATCAGGTGAGGGAGCTAGGCCGACAAAACTGGTGGGCTTGCCCTCCCCCACTTGCGCTACTTAGGATGACCAGTAAATTGCAAAAAAGGCCCCAAAAAGTGTCCAAACAGGTGATTCACGGACATAAAAATAACGGAAGACTAAGAGGGAGAGCGAGGAAAGCCCACCAGAATTGCCGGCCTTAAGCAACCTCAAAGAGGCATAAAAGGCATTAGACACCCGCACCCAAGGCATGGCAATACTGGTACGCACGGGAAGACGAACAACTTCGAGAAACAGGAAACAAAAGAAAAAATAAAACAGCTTCTTTAATGGCAGCAAGACGACATCTCATGATTAAAATGGAGTACTAAAGATTTTGATTCCACGAGTTGACAACAGTTAAAACCGGCATTATGACGCCTCTACGCCTATCAAGCAATTGCGTTTAAAGAAAAGGTACGAAAACATCCCAAAAGTAGGGGGTACATAAATAAAACTTGAGGGAATTAAGAGAAGAAAAAATTTGCAAACTAAGCTGACACCGACTAGCTGATAACGAAATAAACAGCGATCTGGCGGTCCTGCTCCCCTTTGTCTGACTTTTTGGTAGACGAAGAAGCGGGGCGGCAAATAAAAAGAACAAAGCAGATCCGCTAAGCCTAGCTAAGGCCACCTAGATTAAGCCATGTTAGACGGGGTTAGGAACTGGATGGGCGAGCATGCGGCAATAAAGTAGCCGCTTTTTTCCCTTCCATTTCTTCTTCTTTCCAGTCCTATTTTAACCCTATGTACGCAGGGCGAAACGCTCATGGCATTAGGTTAACCGACGGATGAAAAACAAAGGGCCAATAAGAGTTCAAACTAAAAACCAAGTAGAGGAGGCTGTCCGAGTGCAAACACCAGTCTAGGCCTAGAACGGAAATCAGCCAAGGCGACAGTTGTCCATAGAGAGTGACGAATGAAAAGATCACAAATTCTGGACGAAAGCCCGACAGTCCAAAATTTGAAAAACACTACAAATTGGGAACAACCCGGACAAAACGAAGCAACCAAACTTGAAGCACCATCTAAGATTTATCCAGACATGAAAGCAGCAGAAGACAATTCCACTCGGCCACAACCGAGTCAAAAATAAATAAATAAAATAATAATAATAATAATAATAATAATAATAATAATAATAATAATGATATTAATA